ATAAAACCTCTGAGGGATTACTCAGGCTCTTGAAACTCTTCTTTCTCCTCTGGGCGATAAGGACTAATTCTTTTCCTCAACAGCTGGAGCTAAATATGTGTAAGGATGAAGCATAGCCTGTTACTTGTTAGTTACCAGAGCCAACTTGCCCGTACAGAACAGGATGGCTCAGGCCAGGCCAAGGGAACAGTGCCAACCTCAGCATGTTCTTCACCCTAGCATTAGCATGCACACATGCCAGCAGCTGCATCTCCTTGCCTCCTAAAGTTTGTAGAGTGGCTATAAGTATGGCAGCTGGACTCTGCTCCTAGCGCTCTCTTGACACAAGGTTGGAATCTATCTTACCCTGCGGCTGCAGAGGTGCACTGGGGGTGGGTGAGAAATGGCTCCTTCTACCCTTCTCTCTCTAGTTCACTTGTGCAAAGCACAGAGGATCTAGTCTTATTTGGCTTCTTTTCAGCTACTGAAAAAACACAAAGGAATACTGAACCAATTACCTGATTTTCAGAGATTCTGAGCACTCACTTTCCATTCTCATCACTGAAAATTAGACCATGAATCTGTTACTTTGTGTCCCAGAAGATGACTTCAAGAAAGAAACAAACACAAGCTTTCTTACAAAACTCCACAACTACATTTTATTTCATTTCAAACGTTGACAATGTTAGTCTCTGAAGGAAAGACTGAAGATCATGTTTGTGGTAAAATTCCTTTATTAATCTAGATTTCATTTGTAAATTCATTTTGACATAAGAAACCCTAAATGCAAATTACAAAACTGTATTCCAGTAAAAATGAGCATAATAGTTAACAATAAATGTACAACTTTATACAAATAATTTTTTTTCATATTCTATTTTTAAAAATAGAAGTGTATATCATCTATTATACAGGTCCTAATAACTTTTACAACTGATAGCTGGAACCTGTACTTTTATTATGTGCACTTTCATAGGTATCCGTCATTTAATCCTCATCAGAGCTTGCTCATTAGTTGAGATAGCAAGATCATTTTTTTTTCTTTTTAAAGAAAAATAACCTTGCTGCCACAGAACTGTGAAAAGTCAAAGTACTCTTCTTTTTCAGGGTGTTCTACTCCATCCTCTCTTCAATTCTGTGAAGAGGGCTAATTACCATTCTAGAAACGTGAATTACAGTTAAAGATATAAGCACTGGTAATGTAAATTCTATGTCTAATGCATCTCAGCACATTTACGACGACACTGGTTTAATAATACCAACACTGGGATTATTCTCCTATCCACACATGTTCTGCACATGTTTGATGAACATGTTGGATGTGAATGTGGTTAAATTCCACCTCTTCACAGTAAAACTTAATTAGAATACAAGTTCTGTAGGGCATGCAATGAATATCACTTATATACAGTGCATGATTATTAAAATGGTCTCCTTACAAGGTAGTATGGGGCATCTATAAAACTAAGAATGAGGACTCCTGAATTACAAAGGTTTCCAACAACTTAACCTCAAAAAGGTACCGCTATGACTGTGTTTAAGATGACCTAACTAAGCCTAGAAAAATATTTAAAGTTTAAAAGAAATTGAACCACAAACTATAAAAGAAAAACAAAAGCATTAATAAAAAGGACCGTCAAAGTATTTTTAAAAGTATTTTAAAAATCAGTTTTGCCTCACTATTTTTATAATCCCTGGAAATCTGAAAGATTATCTTTAATTTTTTTTTTTAAACAAATCTGTTTCTTTACAGAATCATGTTTTCTTTCGTTGCATGGGCATGTCTGGGTCTGTTATTGAGAATTGATCATGAATGCTAAGCTGCTGACATTAACTTTTCTTTAGGAAAAAGTTTTGAAGCATTTTTTTAATTTAATAAATTGAGTGAACTTTAAGAACAAGTATTTTTAAAAGAAAGGAGTCATATTTTTGGCCTACTAACCTCTACAGTGTCCTGTTAAATAAAAGGAAAAGAAGAAACTGGTGCATACCTATTTTAACAGTCTATGTTCTTTCAGAGTGCTGGTGGTAATACTTTAAGGTTTGAAATGTTCATAGTAAAAATTATGTCACTAGTTTCTTCTTAAAAGGACACCGTAAAGGCTGGAAGTCCCAAAAAATGTTACCTACTTCAAAATATTTTAAAATACAGTTATTTAAAACAGTTCTTCCCATTATAAAATAAATTATTGGGCTCCCAAAACAAAGGCTATAAAATGGAAAAAAAAGTTTCAATGTTTCTTCTGGAAAACTAGGCAAATAATCCAAGATAGAGAGGAGGTTTTTTGTATATCCACCACTCCTCTTCCACTCTGGTTTTCTCCTCCTTTTTAGGTCCCAATTCAGCAAAGCAGAATACTTAAATCCCATTGCTTTAATGAGACTTAAGCACATGTTTAAAATGCATTGCTTAATTGGTACCTTAGGGTTTGATCATACACCACTGAAATCAATGGAAGTTTGGCCATTGATTTCCATAGAGAAGAATCTATTTATCTTATGTTATTACACAACTGTCCGTTACCATATTCAGGCCCCTAGTGCACAGTGCAGAAGCATAAAAAGAACTCTGCTCTTAAGGACTTAAAGAGTAGGGTTCTTTTATATTTGAACATTTTGCCTACAGGGACAGGGCAGAGACCTAAAGTGGAGAGACAAACCGTGTCCATAAGTACCCACAAACCAAAACACAGTTATTAGAGGGCATATCTACACTGCAGCTGGGAGGCGTGATTCCTAGCATGGGTAGACAGACTCATGCTAGCTCAGTTCAAGTTAGCATGCTAAACTTAATGGCCTGGACACTGCAACACTGGAGGCATCCCAGGCTAGCTGAGTACAAGCCTGCCTGACCCCCGAAGCCTCAATGGCACGTACAAAGGGATGGTGCATGTAAATTCTGTTATTTGTGTGCATACAACTCTGTGTAAGCACAAACAAAGGGTACTGTTTTGAAAATTTCCCCCCCCAAAATGTACTGACATACTAACTTAAGAATATGAAAAATACCTCACATTCACCTATTAACATTATTTCCAGTACACAACTCAATTGTTATGAAAACAAAGTTTCATAGCAAAGCTTTAAAAACTATTATATTAAAGGAAATTTATGTCTCTCAATTTTCAAGGCTGTTACATACTATAATAAAAGCATATTTTAAGATGTTCCATTTTGTTCTTAAAATAAACGCTCTGATTGTTTGCTGAAAAATATCTTAAGTATGGGGGGGGGGGGTCAGAGGCATTATAAGCACATTTTCTGGATCCTGAAGAACTGCTAATGTCAAAGAAATTCTTCCTCTAATCTGATCTTTCCAGTTGAGCAATTACCACTATACTACTATAAACTGTTTTGCTGCTAGAAAAAGTGCTTGAAATGCCATACAGTTAAACATAATATTTACTACTGGAGACGTGCCAATTTATCTACTTATTTATTTTATTATACACAGATAAAATGTAGGTAGAGATGAGACTATGGGGTTATGTTTTTCTCCTTAAAGAATTAAGGTGCATTAATAAAATTTTCTAACAGACTTTAGGTCCCAATCCAGAGTCCTTATAACACACAACTCCTATTGACTTCAAGAAGAGTTCTGTATGAATAAGGACAGCAGAAATGGCCCATATTTTCAAGAAACCACCGCTTAAAGATCATGGCTCAGATTTTCAAAAAGAGTCTTTGAGTGTTAAGCATTCACCTGCCTTGGGTTTCAAATTTCCATGGGGGTTGGATACCTCGCTCCTTTAGGCTCCTTTGAAAATCTCAACTCAAAATTCTAACACACACAATAACTAACTATCTTTAAACAAGTTAACTTTTACTGTGTATATTTTAAAGTTACAAAATCCACAACAATTAAAATGTATTGGGCCAGAGATAATCTTAGGCTCTGTCTGCACTGAGAAGGAAGCAGTGTTTGAAAACGGGACCTTAATTTCTCTTTAACACTATTGTTATTGGTAGCATCTATTGTTCAGCAGTATTGTAGGTCTACACTTCTCATTTTGTTCAGCAGTATTGCAGGTCTGTACTTCTCATATTAAAATCTCTGTAAGAGGATCTTCCCTTTGGAGTTATGAAAAAATACACTTCAATCTTACCATTTTATTGGAAACACATGCTGACAAAACTAATTGATATAAAATAAGTTGAAAAAATTTTCTATTAAAATACTGTTTTTAAAGTACATTAAGTTATAATTACTGACACTGTTTAAAGTTTTTAGTTTCACACTCCCCTTCTTCACACCCTTTTACTTCAGCATGACTTTCAGGCAGCCTGGTTTTATTTCTGTGAACCTGTTAAACAAGAGGAGATTAAGATTCAAAGTTTATATTATGGCCAGCACCATATCTCCTAGTCCTAGAAAGTGAATAAGGTTGTCATCCAGGAGTAGGGTGACAAGATTTCCAAAGTGAAGAAATCAGGACATCCTCTATTTATAGAGTGGACGGTTTTACATGGGATCGTTTTTGGTATGGTCAGAGAGCTCTGAACAGTAGGGTTTTGGCAACTGTAATGAGAGAGAGAGAAAAAATTGCCCAATCCTCCTCCTAATATCTGCTATGCTTTTATCTTTCCCACTCTTCCCTATTCTTCTGAAGAAAAGCAAATGTGGTACTCATCTTCAGAAAGAGAAAGAAGAGGAGTCCAGTAACTGCCATCCTATAAATTTAACTTCAACTCCTAATAGGATAATGAAACAAACATTAAGGGTGGGAAAAAGAAAGATCACACAATATTGATGGTAGGGTTTTCAGAAATGTGCAGTGTTGACCAAACTCCACGGCATGAATTTATAAAGTACAAATTTTGGCAGACAAACTTGGATTGATTTTAGACATTGGTCATTTATCAGAGAGAGGAGTCTAGGGTGGCACTGCAGTGTTGGTGTTAAACAGATTGTACTTCATCTTTTTTAGAGATCATCATTAATGAAGGTGTTTAACGAACTTTACAGATTATACAGAATTGAAGGACTAGTTAGGACAAAGAAATAAAAAGGGATCTAAGGAGATCAAAAATATGGTCATAAAATAAAAAAAATAGATTCCTTTTAGTAAAAAGCAAGTTAGTACACCTAAAACAAACAAACAGATTTTCAGTGAGAGGGAAAATTTTGGAAAGAAGTACTAAGAAGAGAGATTTTGGAGTGACAATAGAAGAGGAATCAGACATGCATTTCTAGTGATATATGGCAACAAAACAGGCCAATACAATTTTGGGGCAGGATATGCAGATGAATCACTTCATAGAGCAAGAAGACAATGATCCCTCTTTAGACAGCTTGAATATTGCACTGGTATTAGAATATTGCACAGTACTAGAAACAGTAACAAACTGGAGGGAGTTCAGAGGTTTGGAGGGATTGATTTATGAGGAATATATTTGAAGATATAACAGAAGAGAGAGGAATATATTTATAGCTCAATGAAATTAAGAAATGGAAAACTGTAGGTTGAATATCAAGAAAAAAAATGCTCATAGGCTGCAGAATTATTTGAAATGCCACATGCTTCATTGCTTGGGACATGTACAGGTAAGTCTTGTCTACACTGTGCATTCTCAGAGCTTCTCCACTTGGTGATCTGGCACTGGTATAATTCTCCATTGGGAGCTACCAATAGTAGGAGCACTAGAGGATTGGGTGCAGGCTTTTCACCAGCTTGCAAACAGATTACAAAGTTAAAGACAAGATGGTAAAAATCCTGCACCCTCTCAACATGAGTGCTCCTCTATCACTTCAGTGCAGACATCTCTAATGACTGGTCAAAGAACTAAAAAAAGTACAACAGGGAATAATACTGCACTGTCAATTTGTTGGATGAACTAATAGGTATTTTCTCTATCTTATTTCTCTGATTCAATGATAGTTTAAGAGTATTCTGGAAAAATAAAGTTTATAGATTTTTAAAAGTATGGGTAAGCATATGAAATGTTTGGCATGCGTGTATACACTCAATAAAAATCTTAATTTTAATATGTTTCTAAGTATTTGCTTCCCTTCATGGACTGGTTATACTGATTGGAAATGGGTAATAGTGACAAACTGGAAAATATCTCTATTTTTTACGAATACATGCAGGCTTCTGTGTGGTTAATTATGATGGGTTACTTGCTATCAAAGATAACGATATCAAAGATAAAACCGCCTCAGGAACACACCTTCAAAGCAGCCAAGATAATAATGGCTGTGCCATTAATAGAGAAGAAACTACCAGTCCTGCTCCATCCAGGTTAGAATGGTTTACTCTTCAGAAACCTAAACCTTGGATCAAAGGAGATCGAAAACCTCAAGATCCTAGAAAAAAGGAGGAGGGGTTGGGTGATCTGAGAAAGGCTCCCAGTGTGTGTCAGTGAAATGCTGACAGGCAAGCAAACTCACACAGAGGGAGGGGGGTAAAAACTCCAGAAGCGCTGTCTGCTTCTCCCAACTCAGAGACAGAATCAGCTGGGCTGAAGGAAAACCTTTAAAAGGTCTAAGTAATATCCACATGTGTAGGCCTCATTATTTTTACCCTTTGCATCATATGCTTCGTATCATTTGGGAATGAATACATAATGCTTTGTTTTGAAGATGCTGGTTCTGTGCCACTGCAAATGCAAATGTGAGCTGTCAGGCTCCAAAAGGGAAACACTTACAGGTGCCAGTTGAACTTGTGTTGTTAACTTGGTTGGGGACCGGGGCTGCAGCCCAGAGATCCAGCCTAAGGCCTGGTCCCCACTAACGCCCCAATTCGGACTAAGGTACGCAAATTCAGCTACGTTAATAACATAGCTGAATTCGAAGTACCTTAGTCCGAACTTACCGCGGGTCCAGACGCGGCAGGGAGGCTCCCCCGTCGATGCCGCGTACTCCTCTCGCCGAGCTGGAGTACCGGCGTCGACGGCGAGCACTTCCGGGATCGATCCATCGCGTCTAAACTAGACGCGATAAATCGATCCCAGAACATCGATTGCCTGCCGCCGGACCCTCCGGTAAGTGTAGACGTACCCTAAGAGTGGATGGACTATAGGGTTCCCCCCGGGGTAAGGTGCAGGAAGCAAGGCTTGTCACCTGAGGGATGTACTTATGAGGGACTAAAAGGGGTCTTTGGAGTAATTTGCTCCAGTAACCTCGACAGAAACTCAATTATGTACACAAAAACAAACTCATCTAATGTTTTCATCTACCGTCCAAAGTAAACGTGGACAGAAGAAAACTGTATCGAACTTCCCTTATGGGACAGTTTTATGTCATGAAATTTTATCTCCACTGGAACTATTATAGGATTGCCAACTTTCTGACTGCAGAAAACCAAACACCCTTGTCCTGCCCCTTGCCCTGAGATCCTGCCCTTCCCGAGGCCCTGCCCCCCACTCACTCCATCCTCTCTCTCCCCATCACTCACACTCTCCCACACTTGCTCATTCACTCATTTTCACTGGGCTGGGGCAGTGGTGCGGGAGGGGTGCTCCTGCTGGGGGTGTGGACTCTGGGGTGGGGCCAGGAATGAAGGGTTTGGGGTGCAGGAACCTCTGGGCTAGGAGGTGGGGCCAAGGGGTTCAGAGTGTGGGAAGGGGTTCCGGCTGGGGCAGTTGGCTGGAGTGTGGGAGGGAGTACAGGCTCTGGGCTGGGGGTGCAGGCTCTGAGGTGAGGCCAGAAATGAGAGGTTCAGGGTGCAGGAGAGGGCTCCAGGCTGGGGCAGGGGATTGGGGTGCAGGGCTGAGGGCTCCAGCTTGGGGTGTGGGCTCTGGGGTGGGGCCAGGGATATGGGGTTTGGAGTGCGGGAGGGGGCTCAGGGCTGGGGTGCGGGAGGGGGTACAGGCTCTGGGAGGGAGTTTGGGTGTGGGAGAGGGCTCAGGGCTGGGGCAGGAGGTTGGGGAAAGAGTTTGAGAGAAGAAGGGGGCTCAGGGTTGGGGTGCAGGCTCTGGGCGGTGCTTACCGCAGGAAACTCCCAGAAGCGGCAGGCATATCCCTCTGGCTCCTAGGCACAGGGGCAGCCAGGGGGCTCTGTGCGCTCCCCCCGCCCACAGGTGCTGACCCTGTAGCTCCCATCAGCCGTGGCTCCCAGCCTATGGGAGCTGTAGGGGCGGCACTTGGGCAGGTGCAGAGCCCCTTGGCTGCTCTTGCGCCTAGGAGCCGGAGGGACACGCCAGCCACTTCCGGAAGCCACACGGAGCTGGCTGCTGCGGCCAACCAGACTTTTAACGGCCCAGTCAGCAGTGCTGATCGGAGTCGCTAGGGTCCCTTTTTGACTGGGCTTTCCGGTCAAAAACCGGATGCCTGGCAATCTTAAACTATTATGATAGTTGATCTGCCTTATTTTACAAATTGAATAGTTTTCTAAAACACATTTCAGTGTTTAGTTAGCTGAATGTAGGTTCAAAATATCAGTAACAGAAATCTAAGCTCACCTGAAGTTGTGGCTTGTGAGGTATTTAATGGCTGCTGGTTTGATGCGAGCAACTCCTCCCTGGCTATGGTTTCCTCTTCCCGTGATCACACACAGATATGGTTTACCACCAGTCTGCTTGTACTCTGTTACAGGAGGAATTGTAACGGTTACAATGTTCTCTCTGCACAGACTCAGCATTTAACAGAACTTTCTTATCCATACATCTGAAAATTTTCACCACAGTGATTTACAATTCTGTTTTCCTACATTAGCTTTAACCGTTATGTATGCATCACTACAATCCATTTTTCCTCTGGCATAAAAAGTAAATTAAATTTGCCATTAGAGTTTAAGAAATATGTCTGAATGAACTGTTCAAATCTGGACTATATCTTGAAACCTATACATTGTGCTCTGTCACAGAAACCTCATGATTTTATAGAAACATCATTCATTATTCATGTCAGACCTGTATTTGGAATTTACAGCCAGTTAGAACATAAGATAGTTAAAAGAGCACAATAAAAAAACAGCAGTTTTAGTAGAGAACGTTTACAAGAACAAACTCATCATGAACATGAAGCAAAATTCTTAAATCTAAATAAATTGTATCAGTTTTGCATGAAGAAATTTTTTAACTGAAATAATTTTCACAAGACACAAAGATAGGACGAGGAAGAAACATGAAACTGTACATTAATTTTTAACCTCTGAATCAAAGTCAGACTAGCAGGGTAGTAATTTCTCAAACATTGGAGCAGTTTCTTGGGAACATCCTAAGGATCAATATAGCATTTCAATACATCAGCATGGGCTCTACTAGGGCTTTTCTCTAGTAGTCACAAATATTCTGCCTCTAGAAAAGGTTGCAGTAATCTACTATTACTGTATCGTCTGGAAGGGGACAACTGGGGAGGGGAAGGAAGAGTTAATCTGGATTTTATAACTAAATAATTGGAGGTGCTAACTTTTTCTTTTTCTTTCTTTTTTTTTTTAAACTGAAGGGACCACTTACAGATTGGCACTTTGTGTAGGATCTATCCTAATCTTGCTCTCTCCCCTTTATCTACTTCTTTTTCGTATTATCTGTGATCTTTGACAACTTTCAAAGCACCTAGAGCCTGGATGGATCTCTTTTTATGTAAATTGAAACAAATAAATAAATATTTCAGAGTCAGGAGGCTACTGAGCAAGGACAACTCTGTCAGCATTCCAGAGCTGCTGACAATAAGTGTTGAGTCATAGGAAATTAAAACTCTATGGATTAATGGGAAAATATATGATATGTTATTAAGCAGAGGTTCAGGTTTATAGCAGTGGTCACCAACTGGTAGATCATGATCGACTGGTCGATCCTGGAGCCTCTGACACTCGATCGCGATCTCTGGCCGCCAAAAGTCCGGCAGCGTAGTGAGGCTAAGGCAGGCTCCCTGCCTGCCCTGACCCCATGCCACTCCTGGAAGTAGCCAGCACATCTCTGCAGCTCCTGGGGGTGGGGCACACCACCGGTCTCCACACACTGTTTCTGCCTGCAAGCACCATCCCCACAGCTCCCATTGGCCAGGAATGGGGAACTGTGGCCAATGGGAGCTGTGGGGACAGTGCCTGCAGGGAGGGGCAGTGCCCGAAACAATGTGTCCCCTGCCAGGGGCTGCAGGGGCATGCTGGCCACTTCCGGGAGCGGCAGGGAGCCTGCCTCAGCCCCACTGCGCCACTGCCCGGGAACTGTCCAGCGGGAGCCTACAGCCTCCCACACCCCAACCCCCAGCCTTGAGCCCCGTCCTGGAGCCATCACCCTGCACCCGAATCCCCTGCCCAGCCCTAAGCCCCCTCCCGGAGCTTGTGCCCTGCACCCCTTCCTGCACCCCAACACTCTGCCCCAGCCTGGAACCCCCTCCTGCACCCAAACTCCCTCCCAGAGCTTGCACCCTTCACCCCTTCCTGCACCCCAACCCCAACCCCCTGCCCCCGGCTCAGCCGGAGCCCCCCTCCACATGCCAAACCCCTTGGTCCCAGCCCCCCCCCACATGCTGAACCCTTTGGCCCCAGCCCCCTCCCGTACCCCAACACCCTGACTCAGCCTGGTGAAAGAGAGTGAGGGCGGGGGAGAGAAAGCGACAGAGGGAAGGGGGATGGAGTGAGCAGGGCGGGGCCTCGGGGAAGGGGCAGCATAGATCCTGGGTTGCACTTAAATTCAAAAAGTGATCTTGTGCATAGAAAGGTTGGAGACCATTGGTTTATAGTATAGGAGTCTCATTTTATGACTAGCATGGATGAGGTGAGCAAATTTGGAGTTAATTAGTTCTGGCACTCATATTGCAAGTGAGAGGCCCCATTTAACACCTCAGTTTCCCCTGTGTTAGGAAACTGTTTTTAAAGAGATCATTTAGAAGTGTTTTCTATTCACATGGTTGTTTGTGCCTTACATGGTACGTATTTCTTATAAAACATTCCAGGTGTGTTTAATTTGTAAAGTTAGTATTTTCTGCATTTATTTTTATAATTATTTTTTTCCCTAAGAAAAGAACATTCCTGCAATACTTGAATGCTTCACTGGGAGGAAAATTAAAAAAACACCTTCATGCACAACTGCACAGAATGACATTTAGGAACGTTACAATGCTTCTGAAACTTGAGAGAATCCAATTCACAGGTGATAATTTTATCTTAAAGGCCATTAAAAGATCATTCAGAAATCTGAACACTTTTATATAAAACTTGTGTTAGGACATTGTTGGATTATGCTGGTCTGCAAGCATAACACTTTTGCTTAAGATTTAAAAAAACCAACAAAATACTGAAAGAGAAGAGAGTGAAAAGATGACTCAAAAAGGGAGGGAAGGGGATGTGATTAACTTTGGTAAAAAAGTCAGGATGAAAAATCAATAAAGGAGAAATTAACTGATCTCCTTGATAAAGGAGGAGAAGAAGAAGAAAAGAAAAAATGAGAATAAAGTGTAGTAAAAAGGGAAAGACAAACTAACAGAGATACAGGCGGGAAAGAGAAAAGAGAAGCACATTTTATTTGCATTTCCATGACACAAAATACCACTGTTCACTGGGGATCGTTAAAGTTATAATAAAATCAAGTTGTCTTCAGGTGTTGCTAAGTTGCCTTTATTATTAATATTCATACCCCTTATATTTCCCTGTTTATAAAATGTATTCTTTCTACTTTGGCCTTCTGAGCAAAGTGTCAAAGTGATAACTGTGTGCGTGGATTGATTATTAGTTTATTCCTACCGTGGCTTTTCTCCTGTAGTACTCTGGACAAGTGATTAATGGCTTCATCGACATGAAGCCCATGCAGATCCAAAACATTCTCAGGCAGCAGAGATGCATTTACTTTCTCAAAGATTTGCACAGCAGCATCATGGTTTGCTTCTTTCATCTTCTGCTCATGAAGGCGACCCTTTATTCATAAACACATCAACTGTTAAATTCTAAGACTTAATCTAAGCTCCATACTGGTTATCAGGATTCAAGATGACAGCACAAGCAGGGTGCTTTTAAATTTCATTGCATCAAACTGTGAACTATAATCACAACTGAAATTCTGCAAGTGTGTCACTAAAACCTATTTAGAGGGAGTCATGTGCTGATTTAATCAAACTCGCTCACGAGACACTGGTCAAAGCTTGCACAGAGAAGAGATCAGAATCAAGAAAATGAAGGAAAGCCAGAGAGAAAAAAATAAACAGTATAAGATGCCTACATGAACACTAACATAAACCCCATTCAGTGTTGAATTTTCAACTTGTTAGTTAATATTCTATCCTAACAATGGTATTGCACTTTTTGAAAATATTAGTTGTACATTTATTCAGGGGCGGCTCCAGGCACCAGCGCAGCAAGCGCGTGCCTGCAGCGGCCTGTCGGTCGCTGTGAAGGCGGCAGTCAGGCAGCCTTCAGCGGCACGCCTGCGGGAGGTCCGCTGGTCCCGCAGCTTCGGCGGCAATTCGTTGACGGGCACGCCGAAGGTGCGGGACCAGCAGATCACCTGCAGACACGCCGCTGAATCCGCGTGACCGGCAGACCACCCACAGGCGTGCCGCCGAAGGCCGCCTGACTGCCGTGCTTGGGGTGGCAAAAAACATAGAGCCGCCCCTGCATTTATTAAATCAGAAGTCTCAAACAATTGGCCCACAGGCCAGAACAAGTCTCTCAAATACTTTAAATCTAGTCTGAGTCTACAGAATGTATTCATTCAGATCAGACTAGCCATGCAGTTGAGAACATTTCCTCTATAGCTGCCAAATCTCCTGGTTTTCTTTATGGAAAATCTTCCATGATGGAGGCAGCACCTCTATCAGGGGAATAGTGCAGCCTGCTAAGGAGAAGAAGGTGAAGAGACAAAGAACAAGCACTGGAACTGTCAATACAGCAGGGAGCAGCTCTTAGGATATTGGCCTGATGGTGCAATAAGCAGAAGAAGAGATTGCAGGTGACATTTTGTCTTAAAGTTTCTCTTGTGGCTGACCAGTATTAGTGGCAGATTCAGAGATACCAGCCCTGCAATCCTCACTTGCAGGGAGCTGTAAGCACCAGCAAACACCACAAACATTCAAGTCTCAAACTCAGGCTCTCAAACAAAATCTAGTTTTTGCAATTTTTGCCTCAAATTGAAAGTACAAAGAAAAAATTAAACACAAGAGGCAAGTATTTCACAAGAGTGAAGGTAACAGTTAGCTTTTCCCTAAAAGCTGTAGAATAAATTCTTTATTTTGCAAATTTCACTTATAATTTGTATCCATGATGAAGAGGCAGGATAGTGGTTGAAATTATATTTCTGTCCAACAATCATGCAGACATCACTATTTAGAATCTTCCTGAACAAGCCATAACAATATATAGATTAGAAATATAACAAAGCTACTTTTTAAAAAAAGAATCAGATACTAAATATTTTAATAAAATTTCTCAACTCACCAATATGAGTAGTAGGTAATAAAATTGCACACAATATAAAGTATTAAATATTCTATTAGAAAAATGTAGTGCTGTCAATCAACTAAAAATTAATTGTGATTAATTGCGTGATTAAAAAATAATTGTACAATTTAAAAAATTGTGATTAATCGCACTGTTAAACAATAATAGAATACTATTTATTTAAATATTTTGGATGTTTTCTACATTTTCAAATATATCAATTTCAATTACAACACAGAATACAAAGTGTACAGGGCTCACTTTATATTTATTTTTTATTAAAATATTTGCACCATAAAAATGATAAATAAAAGAAATAGTATTTTTCAATTCACCTCATACAACTACTGTAGTGCAATCTCTTTATCATGAAAGTGCACCTTACAAATGTAGTTTTGGTTGTTGTTACATAACTGCACTGAAAAACAAAACCATTTAAATCTTTAGAACCTACATGTCCACTCAGTCCTACTTCTTGTTCAGCCAATCGCTAAGAGAAACAAGTTTGTTTACATTTATGGGAGATAATGCTGCCCACTTCTTAATGACAACGTTACCTGAAAGTGAGAACAGGTGTTTGCATGGCACCGTTGTAGCCAGCGTCGCAAGATATTTACATGTCAGATGTGCTAAAGATTCATATAGCCAAAATAATATAAAGTGAGCACTGTACACTTGGTATTCTGTGTTGTAACTGAAATTGATATATTTGAAAATGTAGAATAACATCCAAAAATATTTAATAAATTTCAATTGGTATTCTACTGTTTAACAGTGCAATTAATCACAATTAATTTTGTTAATCGTGTCAGTTAACTGCAAAAACTTGACAGCCTTAGAAAAATGATTTTATAGTAACATTTCTGTATCACTGTATAGCAAAGATGTGATGAGTATTTCATAGTTTTAAAACTTTCAATAGAAATTTGCACTATAAAAATATTAGTTTTACACAAGCTTTCAGATCAGTGTAAAACTACAATCTACTTTCTAACCAATGAATGCACTTGTGATAGTTGGGGGACGTCCCAAGATTTGCATATTTTGGGAGGTTTAAAAATAAAGCAAATCCAAACAAGTGCAGTAGGTGAATTCATGTTCAAATCACATTCAGTTGGGTATTTGGCTCTCTTTGAGCTGAGGGGTGAAAACATCCTCAAATCAAAACACAACGCACTTTTCTCTTTTTACCTGTTGTGCATAAAATGTTGCCACAGGCTTCATACCCATGCGATAGGCCTCCTCTGCTTTTTTTAAGCATTCTTGTTTCTTTTGCTGGTGAAGGAAAGCCTCTGCTCTAAAGTCATCATACCCTGGGTACTCAATGTCTTGGAACACCATCTCATTCAAAACATCTTCAGCCTCCTTGGATTTTTTTGCCTGCGACAGGTAACATTTGCAATAAAGGCCTGGTCCAAATTTCATTGAAGTCCACTGCAAAGCTCCCATTGATCTCACTAGAGCAGTATCAACCTCTAAGTGAGATTACTTGTGTCTGAAACATGGGCTATGTGATATTTATTCATTATAGTATAGCAAATACAAACATATCGCAGGAAAACAAGCTTGAGAGAAAATATTAACACATTACAAGTAAAACTAATGTTTTACTGACAGATATGTGACAAATGAAAATACCCCCCCATGTTTGTAGTCTCTGTTTGTCAGGCTAATGCGTATATACAGGAGTAAGTGTCCAGTTTAATTTTTTATTACTAAGAAATTGTACAAGCACAAGTAAGCAAATTCAATAAGGACAAATGCAAAGTACTCCATTTAGGAAGGAACAATCAGTTGCACACATACAAAATGGGAAATGACTGCCTAGGAAGGAGTACTACAGAAAGGGATCTGGGGGTCATAGTGGACCACAAACTAAATATGAGTTAACAGTGTAACACTGTTGCAAAAAAAGCGAACATCATTCTGGGATGTATTAGCAGGAGTGTTGTAAGCAAAACATGAGAGTAATTCTTCTGCTCTACTCCATTCTGATTAGGTCTCAACTGAAGTATTGTGTCCAGTTCTGGGCGCCACATTTCGGGAAGGATGTGGACAAATTGGAGAGAGTCCAGTGAACAGCAACAAAAATGATTAAAGATCTAGAAAACATGACCTATGAGGAAGATTGAAGCAAATTGGATTTGTTTAGTCTGGAAAAGGGAAGACTGAGAAGGGACATGATAACAGTTTTCAAGTATGTAAAAGGTTGTACCAGGAGGAAGAAAAATTGTTTTTCTTAACCTCTGAGGATAGGACAAGAAGCAATGGACTTAAACTGCAGCAAGGGAGGTTTAGGTTGGACATTAGGAAAAACTTCCAAAACTGTCAGGGTGGTAAAGCACTGGAATAAATTGTCTAAGGAGGTTGTGGAATCTCCATCATTGGAGATTTTAAAGAGCAGGTTAGACAAACACCTTTCAGGGGACTGGACTAGATGACCTCTCAAGGTCCCTTCCAGTTCTATGATTCTATCTCTAAGAGGATGGTGGAGCTAATGACATCAGTTGAGGAAACTGCAGTCCCTGCTTTCAGTTAAACTGAAGGATGCTGCCTTGGTAATTCCAAAAAGGCCTTTTAAATATTTCACTGTAGATCTTTAAAACAAATACCCCTTGGGAAGGGGGAGGAGGGCGGCTGATCAAGTGCAAACTTTCCAATTCCAGACTGGATTTTTCTGATTGTTTGGAACGTTCTAAGCGCCCTTTTCCCTGCCCAATCTCAGTATTCACTCCATGAAGGAAGGGAGTGTGCATATGTGACTGAGAAAATTAAGCAAAAAACCAAAACTGCTAAACTTCAGAAGAATAGAGCTTTATGGTTCAAGCTTGTTAGATAGTAAAGACAGGTCAGTACTGCCCTTCTAAAAATCTCAGTAGAACTGAGTGTTCGTTACTCAGTGCTTCACATTCTAGGAAGAAGATAATGTCAAAAATATCCACATTCACTGTGACAAAAATACAAACCACAAATGTTGCAGCAAAATGTGTACTGTAACACCGATGACAGGACTTCAGTATATATATATATATATATATGTGTGTGTGTGTAATTATGAAAAAAATTGGCTTGTACCTTTTTCTCTCGGTTCTTTATAGCACTACAGGAAGGGAGAGTGTCACTTTGCTGAGCAATCTCTTGAGCTACAACCGTTTTTACAGGGTCTGCCTCCAGGACACAGTTCAGAAATTGCTCGGTCTGTTCTAAGGAGTAGCTGTAGAGAGTCAATAAAATATCAGTAACTTTGCATATATGTTGTTCCAATGCATATTAACAGCAGCTGCATTTGTTAAAATATATACAGTACACCTACGGGAGTAAATGCTATCATAACAGTACTGGAGTTGTCACTTTTCTACTCACTAGTTCAGCAAAGTTCCTTGTAATACATCACCAGACTCAGATTTTCATTGAATTGCATACCTGCCTTGGTGCTAACAGATGTACCAAGTGCTGTTTGACAGCCAGTAATTAAAAGAGACAGATACTGCTAAGATTTGTGGAATCAAAACAGAACTTTATTATTTCTGTTTTTAAAGGTCATGGTATTCTTTGTGTGCATTTTAAACAGAAGTAAGTGCTCATTAAGAAATAAGAAATCATAGACGATAGTCCAGCACTCACAACCTACACTACAACAACAATCATGTGCGTCAGTGTGGCTGAGAAAATAACTGTGAGAAGAAAACAGATTTCATTTTCAAGCTTCTTGAAATTTATAACCTATAGTAAGAAAAGTGACTTTAAAAAATCATGAAGAATATTTTGACATTGTACCTTTGAACACTAAGGAAACTATGTAATACTTAATCTTATTTTCAATCAGCCTTTACTATATAGATTTATGGAAGAAATTGATCCTGTTCTTACTATCACAACTTTGGTAGTCCTCTATTTTTCATATTGCTCAACAGACTGATAAGAGGGAGACTGTTTTAAATCAATGAGGTGTTGTGAAGAAGCCACAAAGGCAAGGATATCGAGGAAGGAGTTAGGAGGGAAACTTGTGAGGAAAGAAAGAAATGAAAACAAAGATGCTACAAAAGTGGAATTGTGTGGGCTTGAAAGGGAGGACAGGCTCCTTAAACTTAATGTAAAAGGTTAAGGGAAACCGGTGAATGGATTCAGGGAGGCCTGTGAAATGGCCTGAGCAGTGGATGAAAATGACTATTTTAGCAGCGGCACTGTAGATGAACTAAAGAAAGTTACAGAGAGGTGAGAGAGGAGGTGGCTGCAGCAGTAAAAGTGAATGGTGACCAAGGTATGGACAAGTGCTTGAGCTGCTGAGATGGAGAAAAGGACAAATTTTAGAGATGCTGTAGAGAAATAACCTACAAGATCTGATGACAGCCTAGATGTGTAGGTAGAACATGTAGGAAGCAAGAAACTCAGTGTGAAGAGGAAGATAGTTGGAATGGTCAAGGGTGATAGCAAAAGAAGGAGAAGGGAAGTTTTAGGAAGAATGATGGACCTCAGTTTTCACAATCTTGAATTTCAAATGGTAGCTGGACATCAAGGATAAGAAGCTGAAAAGAATCAGATGCAAGAATGGATGGAAGGAGAGATGACACTGCCCCAGCCTGCTTCATAGCTGCTGTGGTGAGGAGTAGAGAATTAGCAGCAGATGTTAGGCCACGGTAGATTTTCCCTCTGGCTGAGTGCCATTCTCATTGACCATACTGTTCCCATTACTTGCCAATCTCTCCAAGTCAATTCTTAGGATGGCTGCTCCTTGAGAACCATCGATAGAAAGTGGCTCCAGTCAGTCAACATCATGCAAGGAATATAGTAGAGGGAAAGTGAGGGAATGAGAGAAGAGTCTTCTCAAAGTAGTAAGACAAGACTAAAACAAGTGAAAACGTATAAATTTGAAGAAAAAAAAATCTTTGCTGCTAAGGACCACGAAGTTTGGCCTTTAATTAAAGCTAAACTTATTTTTGTTATATTGGCTAGAACAGGGGTTCTCAAACTGGGGCTTGGGACCCCTCATGGAGTCGCGAGGTTATTACATGGGGGGGGGTCGCGAGCTGTCAGCCTCCACCCTAAACCCTGCTTTGCCTCCAGCATTTATAATGGTGTTAAATATATAAAAAAGTGTTTTTAATTTATAAGGGGGGGCTTGCACTCAGAGGCTTGCTATATGAAAGGGGTCACCTGTACAAAAGTTTGAGAACCACTGGGATAGAACCATTCTTTAACAAAGTATTAATTTTTTGGGCACTTAATTGTGACAGAATAACCATGCACTGTATGTTATTACTATGCAGCATTTTACAAAGGAAACATTTAAAGATCTCTCACTTGTTGTCCTTGAAGATGTCCATTAAGAAGTTTTGGTTTATCGTTGGGAACATCTCAAAGAGTTGCTTCTCCTTCAACCTGGCAGCACAGTCTTTTCTAGCCATGGAAGGAACACGTTTCTAATCCAGAAAGTAAAGTAAGTGAAACGGTAAAATCATCATTAGAGGAATCTACATTAGTAAAACTGATCCAATAATGTAACTAATTTGTTATTACCAAAAAAAAATGTATTCACTACCTAGGCACCTATCATGCTAAAGATTTTAATTACATATAAGCATCAGCCACACACTCATCTGGTGCACAGAAAGCTGGAACGGGCATATCATGCTGTGTGATACTGTACTGCCACAGTCTGCAATCATTGGAAGTGACTAAGCTAGTGTTCTCTCAATTTAAACTGAGAGAAGGCAGATGGCAAGGTATTTTTCGAGGGGGCCTTAAATTTTGGAATTTGCTACCCTGCTGGTCTATAAATGTCCAGATTACTGAACATTCCAGGCATGCTGCAAAGCCCATCTATTTTCCCTCAGGCAATTGGGCAAGGAGCATACTGAGTGTTTGGGATTGAGCTATGATTGTTTTATTGATGATGGGAAATATTGGTTTTGTTTTGAGGCAGGTATGGGTTGTTTCTATGTATTGTGCATTCAAATTTCAGAAGTCACCTAAAGCAGTGTTTCTCAATGTTTGGTCCATGGACCAGCACCAGTCCCTCAGATCTCCCTGACATAGTTTGGGAAGGCAGCAACCCGGTCCCTGGTATCAAAAAGGTTGAGAAACACTGACCTAGAAGACATGACGTGACAGGTCCTTAATTATAAAACTGAAATAAATAAAGCTGACAATTCCAGTGCTCATATAAAATAAGTGATCAAAACAAAATTGAGCCAGATTACACCAAGCTTAAATCAATCTGTGGACACCATCGTTATCAGTAAGCCACATATAAGTATAAGGAAAAGAACCCACAACACTCTGCTTCAGAAATACAGGCTTATACTATTTGAACTTCAATGTCAACAGAAATAGGGACATTCTATTTTTAGGACAACGAGTTACAGGGCAACAGAATAACAAAGAAAGACATAACTGCACTAATCTGTCATTGCATCCATTAAAGGAGAGTAGCGCAGTTAGCTAGATCATTACAAGCTTCAAATTGAAAACAGAGGAAAACTAAATGGAAACTAAGAAAATGGAAAAGAAAAAAAACTTTAGGGAATAATAAGTGTGTGCCAAATTGAGAGAGAATTACATCTTAAATACCCTTTAAATGTGTCAGCTGTCTGGAATGTTGTGGGTTTTTAAAAAAAATATCATAAGCAATTAAGTCTCTTTTTGAACAAGCATGGCATGGTGCTAATTACAAATTTTTGCATGGTGTCTCACAAAGAATGCATGAAGCCAATTTGATAAATAAATTTTTAAAAGTAAACAACTAAAAATGCAGCTCAACCAAATGCAAATGCTAACCTGTACACCAAGATATAGCATGATCTGTTTGTGAAACAATTAAGATATTAAACTTTCAAATGACAGATTTATTTTAAACAGAAACATCAACTGGCTTTTATCTAGCACCTTAAGTAAACTCTAGCTATCAAAAAACAATTAATAAAATTAGTTAACATCTATCTCAGAAACTCAGCACTAGTCAGCCTGTACAAAGACAGGCAACTGTAGAAGCAAAATATGGCTTCTAACCATACCAAACTGTGCAGGGGGGGAAAAATCAGCGTGATACAACTTAGACATCATAAAAAGTGGCAATATTCATACCAGGTCCTGTTTCTCCTGTAAGGCTATTTCTTCAGACATTATTTCTCTGAGTGATACTCTTTGAGTCTGTGCATTCCAGTGATCCATAAAAGGGAAAATTTCTGATGTTGCTAGATTTTCACTGTGTGTCTCTGTTGATAACTGAGAGGGACAGACCATTTTTTTTCTCTGCAGTTTACTGTCTGTGCTCTGAGATAAGATTGTATTGGAGTCATCCAGATCTAATAAGTCAAACAGTACAAAAGCAACAAAAATCTCAAGGTGACAAAATGAAAAAGTCATTGTATTTAATTAAAGCAAAGCCCGAAGTAATTAAAATACATTTCACCTTACTACATTTTCATTAATTTATTTATTAATAATCTAATTTTATTTAAGCAACTTATATTTTTAGCAAAAATAACATTACATTGCCTACATTTTCCTCCTCACCCTCTCCCTACCAAAGTCCATCAAGCTTCATTTTTCTTCTAACTAGTAAAAAAGCAACAATCCAGATGGAATTTTTAAATGCTGGAACCTAACTTACACCTGCAAATAGATAACTGCATATGACCATGTGTGGGATTTTTTATACTCACAGTTACCTTTTTGTGTGTATATATATTTTGCATTCACAACTTATGAACAGATATTTAACTATTTGGTCACGTTTTTCTCTTGCGATGTTAATGGCACAGTTTAGACTTTAAAAAGTTTTTGCCTAATAGCTAAGGACCAGATTGTGGCTTGAAGTCACAGCCCAGGTCGTAGAGGAGTGGAGTGGGTGTTTGCTGCAGAGGAAGGATTCCTCATGGGGAGCTGAGGGACTGAATGCTTGATTAGCAGATCCATCACCATCTGAAAGAGGGTCACATGCATTACCCCCATGCTGGGCCAGTTCTGGTGACCAAGGTGAAAGGATGGGATGCTCATTAAGACCATGGCCCCTCCCACTTTCTTCTTGCAGAAGGGTAGCCCCACTTGTAGCACTAGCCTGGATCAGTGTCTCTTTTACCCATGGAGATTGTATCAGGCCTTTGAACATCCATACAGACTCAGTCACAATCTCACCCTATGCATTTTGATCCCAGGTAGATATGAGAAAAGCTAATCCTTATAGAGTGCTTTAATGCTATTGTTAAAGTCAGTGGCTTGTTTATTTTTACTACTACTGCTAGGGTTGTAAAATAATGGTGAGTACCATATCAAGTCCACTAAATGCAAGCTGAGCTTAACAAACAAAGCACTCTATTTTCAACAATTTGCAATTTTTTAACCTTACTAGTTTTAGTTTTCGAGAACTGAGCGTTATTACAGTAATTTAAGGAACAGCATACTGTACCTTGCATAAGCAGCTTATAATATTCATCTTCCTTCCTTTGTCTCTTCTAATTACAAATATTAAAAAAAATCACATTAGTGAACCATAGATATAGGTTTCCCACTAATATTAACTCAACAAATGTTACTTTTCAGGTAAACAGGTTTCAAATTAAAGTACAATTTTTAAACTTTTTATCTGAAAAAAATGTGCATATATCTAAGATAAGAAATACATTAAGAGGTAAAGTTTTGAAAATAATACTATTTTTCAAGTGACAGATCAAAGTAGTGCTAAGATATCAAATCAGATCTCATAATTAAATTAAAGATTAGACAAACCAAGAGAAGATTGTACCAAAAAATAAGATGCAGTTTGAAGCAGTTTTTCTTCTTACTCTGGCTGAATTTATGATGACATGAGACTCTAAGAGAACCTTTCTCAATTAGTTAATATAAATATATTTGTTTTCCATACATAATAGGTAATGTGCACTGAGACTTCCTCTTAAAGAATAAAATCAAGGCTTTTCAAGGTCAAATGTCATTGTTGGTGGATGGTTTTAAAATTCATGTTTAAACAATGGGCAATACATAATAACAGATTGGACATTAACTGATCTTTTTGTGAAAATTTGTATGTTATGATCTTTTTTCCCCCATAATGAATCTAATTTTTGCTATGGTATGTCTTACGGTGTGAAATTTATTCTTCCTTGAAATCCTTCTCATCTTATCCCTCCCAAAATCTGAAAAATGTCAATGATTTCCTCTTCTTCCCCTTCCCTCCAAAAATGTATTTTAGAAGCATGAGGGTGGGGCACTGATGCCCATTTTGAAATTATACTCCATAGTTTGTTTTTACGTTTGTATTTTAAGAGATTGGTATTATATTGCCTTTGGGTTTTATTTGTTGCAGGGGCAGGCGACACTATCTAACTAAAATAATGATTTCCTCTATGCTACATGTCCACTTACCCTATGTATTTTACACCATATAGCTAATATTCTCACTGTTACAGTAAATATATAAAATACCTTATATAAATATTTAGACAAATGCAGAAAGAGAAACAAATAGATTGACAAAACCCAAGTGTAACTTCTTATAAGAAAGAAGCCTACCAACCATAATAGATTCTTTCCATTTCTCATGAATCACTTTGGCCAGATTCAGATCTATATGAACCACATAATCCTCAATAGTTAGTGATCCTTATGGAAGAAAGAAAATATACTCATTATACTCATTAAATATACTCATTAAAGCACTGTACAAAAATTAGTCCTATCAAGTATAGCACTGTGGCTTACCACTAATTAATTTGCATTTAAGAATTTTACATAAAAATGTCATGCCTGAAAACTGCAGTGACTTCCAAGTTAAATAAAGACACTGAGTTCTGAGCCCTCACCCAACAGGATTCATAAACCAACACAATAAAAAAGGAAGGGGCAGGAGAGGGCAGGTTAATATTAATTGCATCTTGTTTAAACTTAACTATTGGAATGACTGGCTTTTTTATACCCTTATAATTTTTAATGCATATTCTTCTTTTATATGTCCACCCTTGCATTTAACGTCTTTGCAGTTAACTCTGAACCTAGTGACCAATTGTGATGCTGCATTTTTCCCTTATTTAATCTCTCCCCATGGATAATCATCCCTGAAGAATACATCAGCCATTAGTGTCCTCATTGTTCCCTGAATCATACCCAATTTAGAGAAGCATCTTCCCTAGGAAGCATAAAAGCCAAGAATCCTTTTAACACTAGTCAGAGAGCAAGAGTGACCATGGTAGCAGCATAATGTAATCTTTCCCCGGCACACCTACCTGATACTATTACACCTGTCAGTTTCTCAAAAAGAAAAGGAGAGTGATTTAGAGCATGCAAAGAAAGGGGGACAGGTCTGAGAAATAGTAACACCCCGCTCCCCCTTTTTACCCCAAACCAAGAAAATGTCTTGTTTTTTTTGCTCACAGCCAAACCCATTAATAAATTATAGATTCAAAATGTTATATCAAGTAAACATGTAAAATAATTTCAAAGATTACTAAACCTCCTTTTGTTTTTTCAAACAAAGTTCAAGATCAATCAAACCTGTGTACTACCTGTATTACTACATGGGTCAGAAACCTGGACCCTCTTACAGGCAGACTTGGAGTGGCTAGAGGCATTCCATATGCACTGTCAGCACCAAATCCTGAGCATAAAAGATGATTTGATATTGTGCCAGATGTCACAATCTCATAAAGATCTGGCCTTTCTTCAGTCCCTCATTACATTCAAAAGTGGTGCTGTATGCTCTTCAGCCATGTTGCCAGGATGGATACATGTTCTCAAACTCTCCATCATCCCATGAAGGGATAAAGGCCCTGACCCCACCTGGAACTGCCTGCGGGGCCACTCTACAGATTTGTGATTTGCAGGACTGAGCCAGATCTGGGAACTTCACTAAACAATGCCTGGCTGGCACAACAGTCCCCAGTGGACTTTGTGTGTTTGATGATTATTTTGTTTTTTCTTTCCATTTTCTCTTGATCTCCCTCTCCTTTTAATTCTATATCTTGATGTGTCTTCAGGTGATTTTCAATGAGTTTTCTCTCAGACTAATTTTTCATTTTAAAAAATGTTTCATATTATTCTCTCGCTCTCTCTCAAACTTTCTTTCATTTCTGATTTGGCATCTCCCTTCCCCATTTATTTGTCCCATCAAAGGTTCTCTCTCTCTCTTCCTTCTCCCAACCAATCAAAATTTTTCCTCATCATTATCTACCTCTCCACCTTTGGGAGACGGAAAGTAGGTTCTGCTCCAAGCCAGACAAGTGGAAATATTTTCTTGCAATACTCTTCAAATGTATATGTGGGCAGAGACAAAAAAATTGAAAAGAAAAGATAGCTATCCTTGCTGCTATATTTTATGTAACATTCTGGTTCAGTTCAGTTTTTAAATTAACAAGAACCTTTGAATAGCACCACAATATCATGAGGAATTCAAAGTAAGCATAATAAATAAATTAAAATGGCTTTAAAAAAAAAGAACTACATTACATATATATTTGTATTAATTATTTTTCATGCCCTTACCTGAGTCAATGCCAACTGGCCCAAATATTTCTTTCAGTTGAAGGGCTAGTTCAGGAGGTAATGCCAATTCTAGGCAATTTATATTCATGGATCCCGAGGATAACGAAGTAGGGTTCAATATCTTGGTTCTATCTTCATCCATATTAGAAGGTTTGCTTTCTTCCCTATCACCTCCAATTGATATCATATCATTCCCCTGAGTTTCTTTACAGGTTTCCAGTTCTTCTTCATCACTTGCACAGTTCTTCAAAGGTGCTTGATCCATTTGCAGTAACGGAAGAATCATATTATTTACTTTGGAACTCTCTAGATATGTTTCTGAAAGTTTATTGTCTACCTCCTTATTTAATTTGGGTTTCAAAATGGTTGGAGCAGTGCTGAACACCTTAGGTAAAGTCACAGGTAGACATAAGCCCACATCAAGCTGTGACACCACTGATTTTTCTTCTGTTTCATTAACAAGGCTCATCGCCTTTAAGTTTATTTTCTGTGTATCTGAAACAGACTGCTCGATGATATCTGTTCCTGAATCTTCTGCCTGAGTTCTGGGAACAATGTCCTTGGTATTTTTGAGTTTTACTGAAGCACTCAGTGGAAGTCTTGTTAGTGAGTCAGATATTTTAGCATCTGTCTCAAGTATGTCTGCAGTTTCACTCTCTGCATAACACACTGATAAATTGTTTTCTGAAAGTTGAGTGATACCATCAGTCCCAATTATTTGGCTGGTTTGTTCAGAATTTTTAAGATTCTCTCCATAGTTTGTATTTTCCTTGAATTCAAGGTCTGTGGTAGCTGGCACAGTTCCTGCCTCCTGCAAGCATTCAATGTCTTCGCCTTTACACTTTTCATCAGAATCCAATAGCAGGCTTGTGGCCCAGACAATGTCCTTGTTACATCTTTCATAGAAGTCTTTCAGTGCATCAAATGAAAAGGACCCAAACAACTTACAAAGAACATTCAGATTTTCAGATTCATCAATACTGATAAGTTCACTTTCTTCCACATATGTGCTTTTATCATACATAACTCTATAGGGTATTTTTTCTTGAGAACTTGAAGCAGCATCCATGTCTTTTGGTCTGAATGCTTCTAATCTGCCATGTAATACTTTGGTATTCTCGGAAATAATATTCTCAGAAATAATAATTTTCTTTTCTAATCTCCATAAGAGCGCGAAATCCTGTGGCTCAGTCTGTGAATACCTGCTTGGTTGTTTACAGATGTGTTTTTCAGATTTCTCTTCCAGCAAATTAAGCGTTGACAACTGTTCTGGTTTGGAGAGGGCCACACTGCTGTTGGTAAACGTGAGGGCTAATTTATGATGCTTCCGTGTTCTTTTATTTTGTTGGGGCTTTTTCTCACTGATATTGTCACTAGCTATTCTTTCAGGTTCTTGAAAATTTGATGTCTCTGTGTCCTGTAGCTCTTCACTGCTCACAGATGTTCCATGAAGCACATCCACTGTGTCAAGAACATTTTTGTGTATATCACATTTATTATTTCCAGCTTCATCAGATTCACTTAGACTTCTCTTTGATATTCTCCTTGATCTATGTTGCCTCTGCTGCAAAGAGCTCATAGCAGGCCAGTCTCCCATCATTTGCAATTCTGGGGTAATTTTATCTGCACCAAGAACACAGAAAGAGTCAGAGACTAAATTTTCCTCCCTCTGTCTTTTTTCACCATGTAGTACTTCCTGCTGAATATCTGCCAGGTCCACTTGTGCCTTGTGTGAATCAAGAAGATGCTGGCTGGTTGCTTTATCCTCTTTATCACTCTTCATAGAAAATTTTTCTATTCTTCTAGTCCTTTTGGTTCTCTGCCTGATTGATTGTTCTACAGGCCAGTCACCCAGAAAGTTTAATAATTCTGGCCTCACTGATACATCCAAAGATGAACCATTTTGTTTCATAATGTTCCTTTCATGTGTTACTACTGGTTCTACTGCAATTTCATTGTACTGATCCTTTTCAGTTTGAACTTCCAGAATCTTGTCACTATGTTCTTGAATATGTTCACAAGAACAGATATGCAAGTGTGTGGTTTCTTCAGATTTCACCTCATTAGTTTTACTAGTTTCTGTTTCAGTAATTCTATGTATTTCTTCTCTCTTTACAGCTTTTTTCCCCAAAGGCACTTCTTTTTCTTCATAATCTGATAAACTGATATCCACACTACCTTGAATAATGCTATTCTCAGAAACATGTTCTCTTAAATTATTTTCAATTTCCTCCTCTTCTTTTCGAAAATATCTATCTGCTAAGTTATTTTCTACTGCTGAAGATGTAGAAGATGCATGTTTCTCCTCTTCAGCTAATTCAGGAGGCTTTGAAGCTGAAGCAAAAAGTGTCTCTTCTTTCACATATGCATGTACCTCTTTTTGCCTGTAAGACAAACAATTAAACAGAAGACGTTTAAAGAAAACGTAAAAGAAAAAAAACCTAACAAGCCAACCCCACAAACTTCTATTCTGGCTTGGCTACTAAATAAATTTAAATTAAAGCCCATAAGCTCTTTAAACCAGGGTCCCATATTTTAGTTTAGGATACTATACAATCATTGAACTGAGACATACATAAAATGTTCACACACTACCAATCCATGAAATCTGGGGAGAGGAAAACAGTTTTAAAAAGAACTAGCTCAAACCTGAACACTCCCCTCTAATAAAACAAAACAAAACAGCACAGATATTTACTTGATAAGGGCCCCTCCTTGATTCCAAATAGGGATTACATTTTTCTCTTTACATTAGTCTATCTCCCTCTACCCCAACCTGCAATTTCCAACAGGAGGACAGCGGCAGGCAGCTGGGAAGGGGTGGCTGGGTGGAGGCACGCGGCCCGGGACCCCCGCCGGTGCTGTGGGGCCCGGGACCCCCACTGCTGCTTCTGCAGGGCAGGTGGAGTGCAGTGGCCTGAGACTGTCCCAGCAGTGGCCGGTGCGGCTGGCCCAGGCAGCCCTGGAGCCAGCCACATCGGCTGCTGCAGAAGTCATGGAGGTCCCAGAAACTCACAGAATCCATGGACTTCTGTGACAGACTCGCAGCCTTAATTGTAGACCAGTCAGCCTAACTTCAACACCCGGAAAGACACTGAAACAAATTATTCAACAATCAATTTGGTAAGCACCCAGAGGATAATAGGGTTATAAGAAATAGTCAGCATTGATTTGTCAAAAACAAATCATGCCGAACGCTACCTAATTTCCTTCTTTGACAGGGTTATTGGCCTAGTGAATAGGAGGAAGCAGTAGACATGATGTATCTTATTTTAGTAAGGCTTTTGACACAGTCCCTCATGACATTCTCATAAGCAGGGATCTGTTTTCTGTGATAAATACAACAAAATTCTCTGATAAAAGAAAACATAAAAATCCAAGTTTTTCTGTGATTAAAATGAAATGCTGAACATTAGTTTCCCTAGCCACAATATACTGTATATAGGTATCAGTTGAACACAATGTTTTATTAATATACAGTGGAACCCCATTTATCCATTCAAATTGGGACTGTGGCTAGATTGGATAATAAAAAATTCAGATAATCTGGAGAGCGGCAGGGCTGACAGACAGGGCTCTCGCAGCCTGGAGTTCGGGCTGTCAATCCTGGTATAGTTAATACGGAGAGACAGATAATGGAGGCTTGGATAAACAGAGTTCTATAGTATAAGTTTTTAGTTTTTACATTTTGTGAAAAAATAAAGATTCTGTATAAAAATGCAAATTCTGCATTTTTCCATGGCAAATGGATTTCTAGGATCCTTTCTCATAAGCAAACTAGAGAAACGCAGTCTAGATGGAATTACTATAAGGTGTGTGCATAATTGGGTGAAAGCCTATACTCAGAGAGTAGATACCAATGGTTCGTTGTTAAAATGGACATACGTAGTGGGATCCTGCAGAGGTCAGTCCTGGGTCCAGTACTATTCCACATTTTCATTAATGATTTGGATGACAGAGTGGAGAATATGCTTATAAAATTAGCTGATGATACCAAGCTGGGAGGGGATGCAAGTACTTTGGAGGACAGAACTATGATTCAAAATGACCTTGACAAATTAAGAATTGTTCTGAATTCAACACGATGAAATTCAATAAAGATAAGTATGAAGTAGTACACTTAAGGAGGAAAAATCAAATACAAAATTATAAATTGGAGAATAACTGCCTAGATAGTAGTACTGCTGAAAAGGATCTGGGGGTTATAGAGGATCATAAACTGAATACGAGTCAATGATGTAATGCAGTTTCAAAAAAGGCTAATATTTTGGGGTGTATTAACAGGAGTTTCATATGTAAGACACAGGAGGTAACTGTCCTGTTCTATTCGGCACTCAGGAGGCCTCAGCTGAATACTATGTCCAGTTCTGGGCACCACGCTTTAAGGAAAGATGTGGACAAATTAGAGAGAGTCTAGAAGACAACAACAAAAACGATAAAGTTTAGAAAACCTGACCGATGAGGAAAGGTTAAAAAAAACTGGGCATATTTAGTCTTGACAAAAGATGACTGAGGGTGACTTGATAACAGTCTTCCAATGTGTTACGGTCTGTTACAAAAGAGAACAATTGATCATTGTTCTCTATGTCCACTGAAGGTAGGACAAGAAGTAATAGGCTTAATCTGCAGCAAGGCAGATTCAGGTTAAATATTAGGGAAAACTTTCTAATTAGAAGGGTAGTTAAGATCTGGAATAGGCTTCCAAGGGAGGTTGTGGATTTGTCATCATTGGAGGTTTTTAAGAAGAGGTTGGACAAACACCTGTCAGGGTTGGTCTATGTTTACTTTGTGCTACCTGAGCACAGTGGGCGGGAGTAGATGACCTGTCAAAGACCCTTCCAACACTACAGTTCTATTATTCTATTTAAGGGATCCATTTCCAAGATACTATAAACACATTCTAAATTATCCACTACAGAAGACCACAGATGCTAGTTGCTTACAAAATATGGTTGGAAATATACTCTCAGTCTACATATACTCACATAAGCCTCCATATAATAAATATATTCCATAATACCAAATAGATCAATCACTCCAATCCTAGTCATAAAAATAATCAACTCCACCAACACCCCACTCTATAAGTACAAAATGCAGACCTAGGGTGTTTACATATATATAGGACTATACTCCTTTTAAAAACTTTATTACACATTTAATAGCTAGTACAAAAAATTCTATACTGTACTCCCAGTAGCATATTTCCAGTACAGAAAAAACAAAAGGAAAAAGTTAAGGTTGGTGGACAGCAATAATCTAGTGGACTAATAGTGTATCATATAGAAATGGAGAAATGGCTGATTCCCTTAACTGTTCACTTCTAAAATTCTTAACCTTGTAAAAATAAGAAATGCTGAATTTTTGTTCAACTTTTTTGGGGTGTTTTTTTTTTTAACAGTTCTGGGTTAGGAGGAGTTAGCCAGCCTCCACTGTTTAAAACAAAAAAAGTTAAGATTGGAATTGTGTAACAAAGTTTTTTATTTAGGAATATAGAGCAAGTAAGTCTTACCCATAACCTTCCCCCTGACAAGGATCTTCATTCCAATCAGCATTTTCTGATTTGTCTGGGACAGCAGAATTCAAGATTGAGTTAACAGTAAGGCAACGTTCATATCGCTCCAACATTCTTTTGATCTTTTCTTTAGATACACCATGAATGTTTCGCCTACAGATTAAAAGATGAAAAAAGTAACATTCCAGATTTTAATAATCAAACAAAACAGACTAAAAGATGGAATCATTTCTCTTTATGCTGTTATATTTCTAGTTTTGCTTAATATTAAACCTAAGAATTAGGCTAAAATATTTTTTTCTTAAACTGCTTTCTGGAATGTTGTAAAAACCAGATGCTTGGTGTTTCACGTTCTGTTAGGAGTCAAGGAGCCAAACTGCATAAAGAAGATTTTGCCTACAGGAGTCCTCCTCCTGTAGGCTATGCTCAGTTGAGAACTTCTCAGAGTGGGAAGAAAACATATTTGCCTACTCTGATCTCCCTGCTTTTAGCCATTTATCAGTATAGCTTATCCCTCTGAGTAGGATTTACACTGACTTTGTTACGTCTCAGAAAGCAATTTGCTTGGCAGTGGCCTGACCTAGGGTATGTAAATCCTAGCCAGCGTGGCAAGCAGAGGGGAACTGGTGTTGAGAGGAGGGGAGAAAACCCCAAGTAACCCCTAGCAGCAAGAAATGGTGGCACACACCATTCCATGAAAGAAAAGCAACTCACAGCTGCTCTAGAAGGATCCCAATAAGCACCCACCATCTGAGAACTGCATCAGCTATGTGTTCAACCCAGATGGTAATACCTAGGCAAAGGTGTAACCAAGCTTCCACTGGTGGTTCAGCAGAGCTTGTCCCCAGGAGCTTGTTCTGCTCACATCAAGACATGACTGCTACTCTAGTGCATAAGGTAGGAGAGACACTTGGAATCAGGAAGGCTAACAGTGGAATAGATCACCTCAATGCAAGGACAAACCCAATACGACAAGATAAACCCTGGATGCTTTCCAGGGGTCCTATTGGATCTATCATTGTGCCTGGATTTCCAAGGGATATTTTAGGGATGAATATACATTTGCATAGCTTTCTGAAGATTTAAAGTGTCATATAAATGTCAAAGGTGCCTTTCTGGCTGCTAGCTAATTTCTTTTGAAACTGGATACCAAAACAAACAAAACAAAACAATATAAAAGGACATCATAAAGTTCTAAGCGGAACAGTTAAAATAAAAAGTTAATCAGGTGTTTGTTCAATTGTTAACAGGGGGCTTACTGATGTTTTGGAGCCTTAATGGCCATTGTAAAGGTAAAAAAAAAGTTATTTTAAAGAGGACAAATGAAAGGTGAAGCAGCTTACTTCAATGTCTTCTACAGTGCTTTTACCTTTCAAGCTCTTTTGGTTTAAACTTCCACCAAGTATCAGGCTCTCGGAACATTACTTTGTATTTGTACTGCTGAGACTGAATAAAAATACAAATAGAATACAAAATACATCAGTAATGTCATATTTCCATGAAAGAGCACACAATGTACAAAACAGACACATATCAGGTTCCCATTTTACAAAACAAGTTAAACATTCCAAAAATACACTAACTATGTAACAGGCTCCATTTATGGTTACACAAATAGGGATTTTTCAAAGCAGTCTAGGTTGCTTAGATACAATATCTTCCTTTAAAATTAATGAAATGTATCTCACATCTCAACCACAGTCTCTACATGACAGAGCTAATTCAGTTTTGTCCAAGAAACATTCTGAAAAATCTCACTATTTTAAGAACCATTTCTTTCCCTTTTTTCAACTTTTTCTTCATTTCAGTTAGCTGCAAACCTGGAGCTCTCTCTTTCTAGTATACTATGGTATTTTCTCAAGGCAAAAACAAATCTGCTTTAAATCTAGCCAAGAGAAATCACTTGGGAGGTGACTGTCCCCCATTCCTATCTTCAGGACCATTCCTATTGTCCTGATGATATACCAAAGCACTTTCCTGGAAACAGAACTTGAAGTATTTTCCTTGTACTTTCATGCAGTAGGCAACACTACCAAGAAGATAGCCATGAACTGACAGCACTCAAAAGTACCTTTTTAAAACCTTCCACAATTAACATTGTAGCTATGACCAGGTATAAAATTAGACCCCATTCATAAAAAGAATCTAAATATTGAACAAGTCCCACCTTTCACCTGTCCATCACACATGCTGAGGGCTGGACTTGATGACCTCTCGAGTTCCCTTCCATCTCTACATTTCTATGATTCTATGCAGCAAAGGTAGAATATTTTTTACTAACCACTTCAATCCTGTGTTCATCTAATTTGAGCAAAGAAGTGCTTTTATATCTACAAGGGCATTTATGTATAGAGAAATCCCAAGGAGACCTATTTTTTATTTTTTAAGTTAATTTACTATGCTGAAAAGTACCAACTCGACAGTACTACTTGGTTAAGTCCCCTATTTATCAACAAAACCAGTTATAATACATAAAATGGCAGCAGAAGGTTCTAACACTTTCCCACTGATGTGCCTAAACCCAGACTAGGATGAAAACCTCTAGGGATAAGAAAGTAGATCAATCCTTATCCCAATTCAACTCTCAGTCTCTTGGCTGAAGCTGGCAACAAAGTTGACAATTAGTTCTAATTTGAGGGTCTGGTTTGGTTTGTTCGCAATATTGACATGGATGACTTTTGAAACTAGGCTTCAATGACATATCACAAGTGGGAGTTCCAAAGAGACCATTTCCACTCCTTGGTATTCTTTTTAACAAGCATAACTGAGCTTCCTTATAAGGATTTGAAAGTACCTTTTAAATATAAAGTATCTTACAAACATTGTGATGAATGGAACAATGGAAAATAAGGAAATTTTAATCAGAATATCTATCCTGGATTTGAGAAACCTCCCTAGAAAATGTTCAGTTGGAAAATTCCTGACCAGCTCTAGTACTGGATCCTGTAAAATGGTTCAGTAAGTTAAGTTACTTTAAAAACAAAATAAAATCTAAGTAGTAAAATGCATGTGACACGTTATTGACATGAACTGTGACCGTATAGATCATTGTTGCAACCTAGGTCCTATAGTTGCACCAAATCTTGTACAAAGGAGGTCAAGTAAGGTGTCTATATAAAGGTTGTAATTTGCTGGTTATGATTATGCAGTCTGTATGTGTGTATCATTTTTGTATTTGAAGTTATGAATATTGGCTATGTACTTGTACCTCAATGTGTTTGATTCTAAGTAGCATCAGTGAAGCATTTGGTCATCTTCTTAAGAAAGGAGTATTCTGAGTAAGTGCCCAATCAAGAAACACTTAACTGACAATGGACTTTGGGAGACGCCAATCCACATCTGAGCTTTCCTGGGAACGTTCAAACTAACATATAAACAATGGCATCGGACATTCATGGACATATGCCTTGCCCAGGTGGCTACAAACTCCATCTTGTTGGTGTGATTTTGCACAGAACAAAGGGGTTTCCACCCACAAGAGAATACAAAAGGCCCTGGAAGCCTCTCCATTTGGTCTTCAGGTGGCTCAAGAGATGGCCTCTCCACCCCAAAGAGATGCTTGAAAGAAACTGTCTGAAAGAAACTGGAACAAAGGATTGTAACTACGGGGGTGTGAGTGATTGCTGGACCCAGGCCATAAGCCACAATGTTGGTCTGAAAAGGATTGGGCCCAGACTAGAAAGGAGTCTAGTCTGTGAAAGAAGCTCATTGGAACATATCTGCGGGTGAGATTTACCTGTATTCAGTTTCCTACTGTATTAGGCTTAGACTTGTGTGTTTTGTTTTATTTTGCTTGGTGATTTACTTTGTTCTGTCTGTTATAACTTGGAAACACTTAAATCCTACTTTTTATCCTTATACTTAATAAAAAATCACTTTTGCTTATTAATTAACCCAGAGTAAATAATTAATACCTGGGGGAGCAAACAGTTGTGCATATCTATCAGTGTTATAGAGGGCAGACAATTTATGAGTTTACCCTGTATAAGCTTTATACAGAGTAAAGCGGATTTATTCAGGGTTTGGGCTCCCAGAAAGACTGAATACTGGGTGCTGGAAAAGTCCCTACTAACTAAGAAGCTGACTGAAGTGTCTAACTCAGAAAGACACAGAAAGACAGGAGTGGGGAGAAGCCTCTTCTGGCAGGGGGGTTTGTTCTCAGTGGTATCCCAGCACATCTACTGACAGTGTTGAGGGAGTTTCTGTGACCCAACCCGCCACAGCGTGTTCCCCATGCATAGCACCCTTAAAAAAAAATAAAAAAAACAAAAAAAAACAAGACCACTTTTTGTTAAAAGCCTAAAAATGAATACTGGTTTAAATTATTGACCTAAGCATTCAGAATTGGGCTCCAAATATAGAAGGACCAGAAGAGTACTGTGAATTTCTGCCATTCCTAAGGCCTGCTCTACACTAGCAAATTAGGTCAGCATACTTACACAGCTCAGGAAAAATCCACAGCTCTAACCAGAGTAGTTAAGCCGATCCGCGTAAACAGCGCTAGATCAACAAAAGAATTCTTCCATGAATCAAGCTACGCCTCTCAGGAAGGTCGATTACTCACACCAATGGGAGTATCCCTCCCATCAGTATAGGTGGTGTCTACACTGATGCAGCTGCAGCATTTTAAGTGCAGATAAGCCCTAAGATACCATTGCTGCAAAGGGCCGAGATTCCTCAACTCGCACTGAAGTCAATGGAACAGATCCTCAGATGACATATGTTGTCAAAGCTCCACAATGGAGCTACGTCAACTTATACCAGCTGAGGATGTACTCCAATAGGCATTATTGGCACCAACGGCATCACAGAATTGGAAGCTAAATGACCAGAAGATGAAGAAAAGACAATATAATAAGAAAAATGTATCACTAACAAACATTACAGCAGCATTATTTTGACTAACTAAATATGAGTCATATACTCAATATAAATGGATTCATCTAGCCTGCCTTCAACTGAGCTAACAGTATTTCATAACTGCTTATAGAAGATATGAAAAGCTTTATAAGTGGGCTCACCTATATCCTAATAAAACTCTGTAATATTGCTACTTAAACACGTTAGTAGGATTTCCAGTTGCAGAGTATATTTATTTTCAAATATTTCAGCTAAATAAAATATAACACTACAGGACAATTTGATCTTCAAATCAGTATTTAAGACACACTTCTTACGTGAAATTTTATCAACGGTAGTCCAGCAAATAAAAGAAAGTTAGGCCGCCATCTTTCATTTGCTGCTTGTGTCACTGATGTCAAATTTAGGATGAGGCAGGGCCTTTCTGTAGAGCACCACCAACCCCATTGTTGGTACTCAGCTAATATGAGCAGCAAAAAAAACCTAGCTAATAATGTTATTTGATTATGCATAAGGAAGAAAAGAATCCAGCTTATTCTTCAAAATGTGTATTTGCTCTGCAGTACAAAACACTTGAATTTGTCAGTAAAATAAGCAGATAAAACACTCAGACTTACACAAAGCAGAATATTTAATGATATGGTACCATTTTTACACATTTTTTTGATTGTGGGCTTGATCCAACTCTTGTTGAACTCAACCAGAAGCTGGACTGAGCCCCGTAACCACATTTTAAAATAGTCTCAGGTTAGTTACCAATCTCTTTTCACATTGCTCAAATCATCATACTAACCAAAGCAACGTAAGGCTTCATCTCCCATGCCTGTATGTTTGTGTTGTCTATTATTATAGGAGAGATTCTCTTTTCAAATGCTTCTTTGGCTGAAAGACAAACAAGTATAAAAGAGCAAGATATGGTTAATTTCTTGATAATAAAAATCTACATCTAATGTTAATTTTATTTTTTTAAAATACACCATGTTTAACCAGTTGCCAAAATAACTATTTTTGGAGTCTGATCTCTCTGCCACCCAAGCACATTTTTTATTTAAATTCACCACCCTCCAAACATAAAAACTACAATTACATTGTATTACACATTGAAATAAATATATGTATGATAATAAAGGAATGGAAATGCAGATGTATAATACACCAATATGACTAATCAGTAAATTATACTAAAAACTACATGATCACCTTCAAGTGGACTTCTTTGTTGCATACAAAATTCTTGGCTTTATAACAGTCTTAAGATAAGTCCACTCTGTAAACTGTATAAAATATGAAAAATTAAAAAAAAAGTGTAGTTTTTTTACACACAATAATAAAATGTTTATCAGTTGCTTTAAAAAAATAACAGAAGGCAGTATTAAAGTAGCCTGCACAACCAGAGTTGCTGTTAAGTGTGTACTTTTCCTATAAACCCATTTTTTGAATAGGTATAGAACATACCTGCAAAAATGTCGTCATATTTAAATTTTAGCACATAAAAGCTTGAAAATAATTGCTTAGTGAAGAGTTTCAGGAGGAGAAACAGAAAAAAAAATCTTTTGTTGGTGAAAATCGCCATTTACTGGTTTCCTCTATTTTTGGTTGTTTCCTAATTTTTGTCAATAATGTAGTGCTCTATAAAGGAACATTAGTTCAAAGGCAGGGAAAAGATCTGGATAGGTGCCATATGCGTAACACATCCACTGTCATGGATAGCATCTGAGTGCAAATAATGATTATTGATCTTAATCTTCGAAGGAATCCTCCTGAGAGCTAGCACAGATTACCACTCGATAAGTAGAACCTAATGCAACATCTATACCCTGATATAATTCCAGGAGAAAATAATCCTTCAGTGCTGAATTGGACATTTGTTAGCAAACAGCACATTAGATAGGCCATTCTGGAGTCTAGGATCCCATTTTTGTCAATATTATTTAAAATTTATACCTCTAAAAGGGGATTAAAGCTCATCCTGTGGTGCAATTACAGGAAAGCCTGCTTTTATAATAGCTTTCAGCAATCCGCAAAGCAGTTGAGCTAATCCCCTATATAGTTCTTACCTTGTTTCCTGTTCCACTCATGTGCTTCTCCTAAGCAATTTGCATCATACTGATATTGTCCGTTTTTGTAAAAGTAATCATCAGTACTAAGAATGATTCCACTTGGGTTATCCTCAAGCAAAGTCCTGTGAAATATCACAAAGACAAAACAATACATTTTTCCAATTTTTGTCCCCTTTTATCAACAATATATGTGAACCAAATATTAACTCCTTTTGGGTTTACATAAGATATACAACAGATAATGGCTTAGTGATCTAAGCCTCAGGTTCTAAAAAGCAGTTTTCATTCCTAGCAAGGTTGCCTCAACCCTCCTTTCTTCCACTGCAGAAAAATTAAGTTTCATGGAGTCTACTGTGTACAGATTTTTTGAACAAGACCTTTCAAACTGAAGTCTTGTGTTCTCTTAATGGATATTAAAGATCCTGTAGCACTTTCTGTGAAAAAGGGAGACTGCTTTAGGTGCCTTCAAAATTTCTTCGTGCCATGTGCAGAGTGCTATACGTGGTTTATCCACTGGTGGACACCCTCCAAACCAGTAGTAGATGCATCTCAATGACAGGTTTACTGACTCCTGCACACACATCTTGATTCATTCCCAGGGACACAGGGAACAAATACATCTGAGGGAAGGTTCAGCCCCAAGAAGAGGGTAGGTGACAATACAACTGTCACCCTGTAATGGGGAGGTTATAGGCATTTGGTCCCTATGAAAGCAGCTGCTGGGAAACGTCCTAGCTATGTGGTTCCTCCAGTTCCTTCTACTGAGAAGCAGAGGGGAAGTTTTGGAGGGAAGAATAGGGAAGAGTAAAAACATATCTAAAGAGTGGGGCAGACACTTCAAGAATTCATATTATAGAGTAAGAGAAAAGAAATTAAAGACTAACTTGACAGAAAAAATGCAAGGGGAAAAATATAATTTAAAAAATACCTAATAATAATAGAAAAATAAATATCTGTATATAATGAAATGCTTCTGCATCAACAGTCCCATACAAAGTTTTATTTGCATAACTGGCAGTATGACATTTCTACAGAAGTCTGAAATTGATTACTATATGTATATTAAAAGTCTAACTATTAAAAAGCTTTCTAGGAGTTGCCCAGAAAATAAAGGGCTGGATTCTCAAGTTCACTATGCACTACTTATTTGGTTTAAAGTGAACGTAAACAGGCCAGAGATTTACAGAGAATTCTGCCAGGGGGAATGTCAGCAATTGTAAACCTGTCAGACCTGACATATTCCCAGCTAAACCCATCCCTGATGCCATGTGGAGGTGGGAGCATGTCAGAACTGGCCCAGGGACAGGAGGGGCATGGTGGAGCTGAGCTCTATTAAACCTGATCTTCATAGAATCATAGAATATCAAGGTTGGAAGGGACCTCAGGAGGTCATCTAGTCCAACCCCCTGCTCAAAGCAGGACCAATCCCCAGACAGATTTTTGCCCCAGATCCCTAAATGCCCCCCTCAAGGATTGAACTCACAAACCTGGGTTTAGCAGGCCAAACCACTGAACTATCCCTCCCCCTTCTACTGGCATAAGCTCCATTATGGAGCTCGCACCAGCGACAGACATTAGAGTAGGCCCCCAATTGCTCTAACCTCCACCAGCAACAGCTGGCCAAGGATCAGGGAGATGCAACTGGCTCAGCTCCCTGCAATTATCGATGTCCACTATGTCTGAGTGCAGCTTGAACAGGATGATGAATTAGGGCTTAAATTGGGCCATTTGCAAACATCAGAAAACTATTTTTTGTTGTTGCTTTCTCTTGTTAATAAATCCTACAATAATACTGTTAAGTCAGTAGTCCCCAAACTTTTTTGTCCGCACCACTGGTCGGGAGCAGGACCAGTGCTGCAGCTGTGGCCTCAGCTGGGAGCAGGGCAACAGTTGGGGTGCAGGGCCCCGGTTAGGGCTGCGAGCCAGGGGCTGCAACTGGGAGCAGAGCTGGCCTGGGTGGAGCTCCCTCCCCACCGCCTGTAAGGGCTGGCCTGGGCCCCACCAAGCTCCCACCGAACATTCCTCCGCAGACCTCAGTTTGGAGACCACTGTGTTAAGTGATTTCTCTTATAAACACATAATATAAACGTTCTACCTTGCCAAAAAAGATTTTCCTGATCCTGGAACCCCTCTGAGAAGAACAAGTACTTGACCTACAAGATGTGTCTTTTTTCTCATCACCGGACAAACAGGTGGTTGGTGTACTTGAGAGAGGTTCATTTTTTGGATTCCATCTTGATTTCCCCATACCTTCGGAGAAGCGTTGCTATCCCAGACATGTGAAACCACTGGAGGAGGAAAAGGCATTCCTTTGCCATGCGTCCTGTAGTCTGAAACAGGCCTCCATTGTCCCGGACTGATAGCTACTGGAATTACAAAGCTGTGACTTCCACTTGATGGATAAAACACAGGAGCCATTGGATTCCAAGGAGGCTGTGGAGATTGCTGTGGTGGTGGAGAAAAATGTAAATTCCATCCCTGCTGAACATCTGCAAGTTGTGGCGATTTGAAACTGGATCCTTCAAGAGATTCAAACGCTTCAGGGAGAGAAATGCTTTTTTGGCCACTACACACAGCCGTTACACCTTCCTGTTGTTCAAGGCATTTTGAGCTAGAATTTCCACTAGCTGTTGTACCAGCTTCTACAGGTCCCTGGAAGAAATTCAAAGTTCCATGGTCTGAAACAATATTCTGTGATTGATCAAGATTTCTACAAGCCACTTCCGAGTTTGTTGGTTTAATGACTTCTGAAGCATTGTCAGTATCAATTTCTGGCAGACTAGAGCTTACTGATACTTGTGCAAAAATGTCCATGTCAGCTGATGAACTATCCTTTGTTTGAATGCTAGATTTACTTACAGCTGGCTGAGAAGATTTGTGACCCTCTGGGATTAACATAGAGGCGAAGTTTTCTAAATTCTCATTCTCTGTCTCTGCTTGCTGCAGAGAAAGCAGGACATTAAACCCTAAACTGGATTTTTCACTCTCAGGAAATTCATTAATGCCATTAGAATTACTCTGGTCCAATGTCATAGGCTGCTTTCCTGTGATATTGTCATTTGTGGAATCATACAATTTGTCTCTCAGATTGTATTTCTCAAAAGCAGTTTGTATCAAGGAATCTAGCTCTTCAGTCAGCTGAATATCAGGTGATGGGATCTTTTCTGATTCTTCTTTAAAGTTCACAATATCTTCTTTTGCACAGCTTTCGCCCACTATTTCATTTGCAACAGAGCTTTGCTGGTTAACAAGAGATAGAGATGATGCTATTGAATCAAAACCTGAGACTTTTGAAGATGCTACTCCCTTAGCAGCTGTGGAAAGTTCTAGCAGACAATCCATAGCATTTTCAACTGTTAAATAAGATAAAGAAAATAAATCAAAGAAAATGATCATGGTAAGGAATAGAGCCTAATTTTAATCCAATTTAAATAACTTTTTACAATCTATAAATCAAGAAATATTATTTATATCAAACCCTGAATTTCAGAGATAGTAAACAGAAAATTTACCAATTAATTTGCTAATATACTTTCCTCCTACCTTTACAACAAATGTTGCTCACTGGGGACAAGACCCAACTGAATCTGCACACACTTCAATACAACAGCATAATATGCAAAAGTAAATAAACTGTGAAGCTAAATTTAACTCTGGGTACAAAGAAAAAGATTACACAGACTGATTAAATGGAATACTTGTTTATAGTCTATACAACACAGGAGAAATAGGATTAAATAAATTGAAATAGTCACTAAAAGGAGAATTGTAGAGGTATAAATTAAAAAAAGATAGGCACAGAAATCTTTTTTTATTATAATCAGGGCTAGTTAAAAGAGCTAATGACAAAAAAAATTGGGGGCGAGGGGGTGCGGGAGTCTTAAGATGACTCAAATAAGCTGGAACTTTTCTGTTTATTCGAGAGAGCTACGTAGAAAGAAATTGCACACTAAAAAATTAAAAAGGATTTTTCCTAAAGTCCAGCTCTTTCAGCACAGCTGGGTAGATCTTCCCTTTAATTTCGAGAATCTGGCTAGCCTTTCCTCCTTGTTTATTACACCAACTACCAATCCATTAAAAAGTGATATTGAAAGTTTCCCTTTTTGAATCTGTTCACAGGAGGAAGATAACAAAATAATAGCCAAAAACCACCCCTTCATGCCAAAGACGACAGAATGAATCTACTGAGAAGAGAAACAGACTTTTTCTCTCCCCTTCCATCTTATTTGCTCCCTCAGAGTACTTGGCCAGGCCTATCTGAAAACACATCCAGCCAAAATGTGTATAGAGAAACACAACAAGGTATATAATGAAGGACAGGAAAAACACTGGAGGTGTTTAAAAAAAAACACACATGCACACGTACTCACACAAGCACAAACAGAGTAGAGTTAAAGACAAGCAAAGGGAAATCTTTAATACTTCAATAATTGGTCTAAAATCCAGTTTTTTTGCTAACATATTGTTTATGAAGCATGCTTCCTTCAGTAAGTCACACAAGTGGCCTGCGTGGGTGGGTGTTATTGGTTTTTATTTTTAAAGGATTATCTTTGTGGATAGATTCTTTTGAATAAAACATGCAACTGTTACACTTTACATATCTACCAAAATTATTGCAAATGACAATTCCCTTAGTGGGTATATTAATAATCCAATGTATTCTCAGTCAACCTCAAGATAAATCTATTAGTTTACCACACTTTAAAAAAAAAATTTTAAAGAACATTTTTAATTGGTAAAGATATCAACTTCAATTTAGAAAGGGCTAAGAATCATATAGCTAAATGGCATGAAAAGTCTGTTAAATTATAAACTTTGTAAATGCCTGCATTAACATTTAAAATAGTATTTAGGTTAGGTAACAATACAGTAACTCCTCGCTTAACGTTGTAGTTATGTTCCTGAAAAATGCGACTAAGCAAAACGATGTTAACCGAATCCAATTTCCCCATAAGAATGAATGTAAATGGGGCGGGTTAGGTTCCAGGGATTTTTTTTTCACCAAAGACTATATTATATGTATACACAGTATAAGTTTTAAACAAACAATTTAATACTGTACACAGCAATGATGATTGTGAAGCTTGGTTGAGGTGGTGGAGTTAGAGGGTGGGATATTTCCCAGGGAATGCCTTACTGTTAAATAATGAACTAGAACTCGGCTGACCCTCAAGGGTTAACACATTGTTATTAATGTAGCCTCATACTCTACAAGGCAGCACGAATGAAGGGAGTATGGCAGACAGAGAGAGACACGCACACCCTGTGTGTGAGAGAGAGATGCACACTGTCCCTTTAAGTACGCAGAACCACTCTAAGTAGATTGCCTTTTTAAGTAGGCCAGGAAGTTGAGACAGCAGCTGCTGTCAGCACACTCCCTCTGTCCTGAGCCCTGTCCTGCTCTATGGAGATGAGATAAGCGAGGTGCAGAAGCAGGGGGAGGGGGACACCCTGACATTAGCCCTCCACTTCCCCTCCCCCGTACCGAAAGCTGGAGGCTCCTGGGAACAGCTCCAAGGCAGAGGGCAGGAGTAGCACATGGCAGTGGTGGGAGGGACAGCTGAACTGCCAGCAATTGATAGCCTGCTGGACGACTGCCACACAGGGAACTTAGGGGAGCAGGGAGCTGATGCGGGGGCTGCCGGTCCACCCTGGTTCCAAGCCCTCACCAGCTAGCTCCAACGGGCTGCTCTTTCTGCAAGCAGTGGACAAAGCAGGCAGGTACCAAACAACGTTATAAGGGAGCACTGCACAACTTTAAATGAGCATTTCCTCTAATTGATCAGCAATGTAACAACGAAACAACGTTAACCAGGACGACTAAGTGAGGAGTTACTGTAGTAAGTAATGTAGCACTATTTAGGGATAACTAGCTTTCAAATATTTCAGACATTTCATTCTTTCCCTTTCTTGGCAATATGCCTGGTAAAATCCCACTTTGTGTGTAATTCATTATATATAGCCAATATACTTCTTTATTTGACATCCCCACCCCAAAATAACTCCTCCTGGACTTGCACTCTGCATCTCCCCCATTACCTATGTGTCAAGTGCCAGTGAACTTGTATTTAGAATAATAATGGAAATAGATAAGTGAGCACACAAAAATAGAAGAGATCTACCAGAAAGAGTGAAGGAGGCTAAGGAATTTGAGATAGTGGAAACCCCAAAGGAATATGAGGAAAGGAAAACAGTCCAAGGAAGCCTGCTGAAGATTCCAGTGCAAAACACAGATAAAATGCATCCTGCATGAACTGAGCCCCAGGGAAGTGACCAGTGATGCTGGCACAAAATGGGAGTTTAAAAACAAAACCCAAAACACAGAGCTACAGGTACAATATACTCAGGTTAGTAAAATCACAAGAGATTGATATGTAGCATACACCCATACAGAATGTGGGACAGTCTTGTGTAGTGGTTAAAGCTCAGAAATGTCAGTCAGGAAAGCAGGGTTCTCTTCTCAATCATGGTCTTGCTGTATGGCTTACGGCAAGCCACCTAACTTCATTAAGTAAAACATATTTCTACTTACCATCATCACAAAAACGTTATGAATCTGAGAATCCTACATGGGAAGTGGGGGACCCGATGTCCCAATTTTATAGGGACAATCCCAATATTCCAGGCATTGTCTTATATAGGCACCTATTACCCCCAAACCCTGTCCTAATTTTTCACACTTGCTATCTGGTCACCCTAATGAGAAGTGCTATAAAATTCCTAAGTATTATGACTCATTGTAACGGGGTATTTGCTACTCGCTGGAGTCTCCTTGTAGCTCATCTGGGGAATTAGCTCACCACCGTCCATGCCCCATCCGGCAGTTGCTCAGCCTATTGCCACAGTCACTCGTTCTGTGGCCCCTCTCTCTCTGGTCAGGAGCTGCAGTTCATCTCCTTCATTGTTTAGCCCTCTGGCCAAGTCACAATTGTCCTTCCCTTCCAGGGTCTCACCAGTCTATCTCCACACAGTCTCAGGGGAAGTCTTCATAGCCATTGCACCAACTACACCACTCCCGCAGTGGCTTGTAGGGGAATCCAGGCCCGCCCTCTGCACTGGGTTCCATCCAAGGGCCCTTGAACCAGCAGTTCAGGTCTGTTCTCTCATCCCTTACTGCTCCTTCCCTGGACTGTTTCCCACACTCCTAGTACAGGCTCTTACTCTGCTCCCTTGTATCAGGGAGCATGACTGTAGGCTTCCTCACTGAAATCTGTTGCCAGCTTCCTGGCTTTACAGAAGCCCCACCTGCTTCTGTCCAGGTGAGCTTCATCCCCAGTTAAGCCTCATTGCATCCTAGCTCCTTTTTGGGTGCAGCCAATGGTTAATTGGCCTCTCTTGCCTATATTAACCCCTCCAGGGCTAATGTATGATGAACACCCCCATCACACTCATGTATTCATTAAAAGTTAAATTCTGACCTCTAAAAACACTGAAGTCCATTGGAGCTGCATTGCCTATCTGAGAGCAGAATTTGCCTATGAAATCCAACTGTTAACATAACAAATGTTTTATTTACCTTTAAAATCACATTCAGACAGCACCATATAAACCACACTAGGATCCAGGTCAGAAAACATTTCTGACATGTTGTTTAAGAGCTCTTCCTTATTGACACTGTAAATTGCTCGTGACACTGACACATCTCCTGGAGGTGGTACCAGTCCTTCACCAGAAGCAGCCATTCTCTCCGAATCCACGATTTTCCTGGAGGGACTCACACCCAGATTTTTCCTTTTCTTTGGCATTCTGTTATTCAGAACAAGTTTCTTTTCTGTTTTATTTTGCCCACGTGATGTTGATTTTGTCAAGTTCAGAGAAAACAAAGCAAGATACCTTTCATCTCTCCGATGGCCACATTACCAATAGCAGACCTAGAAAGAAGAGAATGGAGAAATGCTTAAAAATAAGCAACTGAATTTCCACTGCATTAACTCTTAGCTATTTAAAGGTTTGAAAAGCTTTTTATTTTATGTTTTTGAGGAGGGGTTGCTTTTCTTTTTTTTCGAGGGATGGGAAGGAAGAGCTTCTATTTTTATTTTAAAAAAATTTTACACTAGATATTCAGGTCGTATCTAGACAGAAGAACTAGTGAAAAGGTATTACAAGATCCAAGAAAGTGAAAGTAAAGCAAGTGAAAGGGGAAGGACTATTTAATCAGTTTTAAACCCTTTTTTGTTAACACGTTTAATTTCCATGACCAATCATCATTTTGGGGAAATGTACCCTTTGTTAAAGATGTAGCACCCTCACTCCCTCTATTAAGGTGTTAGAGATCACAGTAAACATCCCCAAGATCTTCCAGAGGTCTTCCAGCAAAAGACTAAACTTAACATTCCTGATATTTCTAAAGATAAAAACAAGCAGAAAGAAGTCTTGTTAAAAGCCTTTCAGGTACTTATACATCATGAAGTGAAAATGTGCAGAAGCCCTTGAAAGTCAAAGAATTTTTTTTTTAAGGTAGCAAAATGAACTAACACTTTGTGTCACACTAATTACACCAAGCCAATATGGAAAGCAATTAGTTATCTATATCTATAGCCAATTTATGTATATGGTGAGGCTGCTTTTTCTTTATAATGCAGAACTTCAAAGTTTTGTTGTTGTGCGTTCAAACTGATAGCAGCAGAAAACACTATAAACTCAGTTTAACAACTTTACAAAGAACTATGTACAGGTAGTTACTAAATTTTCTATTTGATATGGTTTAGTTAACCTGATAATTAGATTAATTTTATATTAACCCGCTTTATTCTAATCTGACTTGTTTACACTTTTGCTTATTTATTTAGTTTAGTTAATAAAATTGGAAACCTGTGTGGTTTACATATTTTTCCCTAGATGTCAAGGTTATGGACCTGAGAAACCCTGAGGTAGATGGAAAAGGCAACTCTGTGAAGGATCTAACAGTGGCCCACAGAAGTATCCTCCTATAGCTCGTGTCCAAACCAGAACACACACAGCTTTTGAAAGAAAGTTCACTTATGTATTAAGCATGTCTTCCAATACGCATAATATTTTTTTAATAAATGGGAGCTATATTTTCAAATGATTTCACATCTCGCATGTTGGCTATAACATTGAATCAGAATGCAGTATCACCAATGAAAAATAAACATTTGAAAGTAAACTACAGTAACTCCTCGCTTAACATTCTAGTTATGTTCCTGAAAAATGCGACTTTAAGCAAAACGATGTTAAGCGACTCTAATTTCCCCATAAGAATTAATGTAAGTAGGGGGGTTAGGTTCCAGGGAAATTTTTTTTGCCAGACAAAAGACTATATTTTATATACATACATTATGTATATATATATATATACACACACATACACACACACATATACACAGTACAAGTTTTAAACAATTTAATACTGTACACAGCAATGATGATTGTGACGCTTGGTTGAGGTAGTGAAGTCAGGGGGCGGCAGAAGGTGGGATATTTCCCAGGGAATGCCTTACTGCTAAATGATGAACTAGCACTCGGCTGAGCCCTCAAGGGTTAACACATTGTTGTTAATGTAGCCTCACACTCTACAAGGCAGCACGAATGGAGGGAGGGAAGACAGCATGACCCCACTCTAAGTACACTGCCTTTTTAAGTAGATCAGCAAGTTGAGACAGCAGCTGCTGCAAGCAAGCTCCTTCTGTCCTGAGCCCTGTCGTGTCCCCCCTGCTCTGTGGAGAAGTGGAGGGGAGGGGACACTCTGACATTAGCAGCCCTCTTCTCTCCTCTCCCCTGCACAGCAAGCAGGAGGCTCCCGGGAGCAACTCCAAGGCAGAGGGCAGGAGCAGCATAAGGTAGTGGGGGGACGGGCAGCTGAACTGCCCAGCAATTGATAGCCTGCTGGGCGGCTGCTGCACAGAGAACTTAGGGGAACAGGGAGCTGATGGGGGGCTGCCGGTCCACCCTGGTTCATTTTGGGGGAGGGAGGACAGCGTAATTGTCGGGTATACGTTTCCGACTTACGCAAAATTCGAGTTACGCAAGGCATTCTGGAACAAGTCGGGAAGCAAATGTACTGTACTTCTACTTAAGAAAGAAAGCTTTGAAATGAGCTAAGCTGATGATATCAATCATATACATACAACCCACAAACCCCCCACCATTAGAGGAAATATTTTAAAAATAAATCCAGATTACTCATTAATGATACTCAGAAGTCTATGCAGAGCATACAACTGCCTAGCATCAAATTCTCACAGGTTCTTCACAAATACTTTAAAAGTGGCATCTCTAATGTCTAATTGTTGTGAGTTTAGCTGTGCCTGATAAGCAAAACCCTGCCTTGGTGGTGGGGTGCAGCCAGGGCTGTCCCTAGACATTGTGGTGCCCTACACAGTCCCCCCACGGGGGCGGGGGTGTTGGCCCCAGGCCTCCACAGGGGGGATGGGAGGGGCCTGCACCCAAGGTTTGTGGGGGGCAGGAGCAGGCTTGAGGGGTAAGGGGGAAACTGCCCCCCAGCACGAGCCGGCGGCGCGGAGCAGGTTGAGGCCGGGTAGCTCTACTTCCTGCCACCCGGTGATTGCATGGCGGGCCCAACCCCACCCTCACGGGGCGGCGGGAAGTGGAGTGACCCAGTCCCAGCCCACTCTGCTCTGCTCCCTGGCCGGCAGTGCAGCTGGGAGCTGGCAGAGCAGAGCGGGTTGGGGCCGGGACGACTCCACTTCCCGCCGCCCCGTGAGTGCACGGTAGGGTGACCAGACGTCCAGATAAAATTTCCTGGTGCCCTACGCAGCTGCATAGTTTGCGTATGAGTAAGGACGGCCCTGGGTGCAGCACCACCTGTGGAGCTCCAGGAGGGATTGTGCCCGTAACTCCCTGGCATCCAGGGAGAGTGCATTCTGTACATCCATCCTTAGGATGGTGGAGTGTGCTTCCCTCTGTATATGGCCAGCTCTGCTGACCAGATGTGGAGGAGAAGTACTGCCATGGCAGAAGCTCCTCTCTGCCCCTTTTGGTATGATTTCAACCTCTGCGCAGAAAGCAGTCCCTGTACACAGGAGAGCTCAGACACTAACTGTATCTGGAGAGAAGGTGATTTCTCTTTTTCACTCCACCAAGTGCCCTGGCAAGATCCAGTCACCAACAGGTCCTATATATAAGAAGAAGTGCTCTGAAAGCATTTTATTTATGTTGAATACACTGGTAATTCAAAAAAGTGAAGTCAGCCTAGGCAAATATTATTGTGTGTATCAATCGCCAAAACAAGAGGTAACTGAAAAAAATCAGACTTGCGCACAAAGGTTGGCATGTCATTGAAAATGGAGTATTTAAAGAAGGAATAACAAATTTAAGCCCTGCTACCACAGAGCCAGGAACAGAGTTAATGAAACAATGCATAAATTCAGCTTAAATGCAGTTCCATCTTTAGAAAAGTGTGCACTCTTAGCGTGGTGCATTGTGCTTAGAACATGGTTTCTAGTAGCACAAATTGAGCATATTATCTGCTGCATTTTTATGCCACCCTCTGCTTATACTAACCCAATTTATTACTCTGAAACACACCTCTGCTTTTTCTTGCAGTTCATAATTTGTTATATCTAGGAGCTCTTTCACATTCTAAGAATAACCCAAAAAGCTGCAAGTTGCAAAGAGTGGTAGGGTTGGCATCTCTAGTCCGCTAAGAGTGCTGTGTGCTGCTTGAACAGCCAGGAATAGCTACTGGAGAATTTCCTTTCTGTAGGGGATTCTATGCCAGTGGAAACAGTTCCATCACCTCCTGTGCCAGCAGCTCCTCCTCCACCAGTGTAAGAGAAAGGAGGGGTGTTCTGGTGGAGAGACATGATAGATCACAGTTCCCCTATGACTCATCTTCAACTGGTGTAAGGTCTGTGACTTTATATCAGCCCTGCTGTTCTAACTTGCTTTGGAGTGGGCAGCAGCGGAAGATCACAGAGCTGCAACTGGCTCCCTGCAGCTGCCTCTCTTTACTCTCATCCAGGCTAAGGATAACTGCTTAGGTATTGTGATTTGAAAAGCCATCTTATTTTTCAGAAAATGCCCATTTCTTAATGAGCTGATTTGATAAATAGAAGAGTTATTAAGAAAGCAATTTCCAGAAAAATGGACTCTTCACACCCACTCACTTGTGTACTTGAATCATCTTGTGGGTGAATATTTAATTCACCCACAAGCTGAATGTGTGCCCTTGAAGCAGTTATCAGGGAAGAGGTCTGTGTGAAAACAGTGAAGTTGAGACTGTGCCAGAGGAGCACAGTTCTTTATCAATGCTGAAATGAAACAGCTGCTTTCTCTAACTGGATATGTGTACCACAGAGGTACCTAGAATTAAACCATGAGCTACAGAGTATATTACAGCCTCTTGCTAACGAGTTAGAAATCCATTTCTAGCCTTCACTACATCTACATCAGCATGCTCTTACTGCCCCATCTTACTCTACCTCAGGGGTCAGCAACCTTTCAGAAGTGGGGTGCCAAGTCTTCATTGATTCACTCTCATGTAAGGTTTTGCGAGCCAGTAATACATTTTAACGTTTTTAGAAGGTCTCTTTCTATAAGTCTATAATATAGAACTAAACTATTGTTGTATGTAAAGTAAATAAGGTTTTTAACATTTTTCAGAAGCTTCATTTAAAATTAAATTAAAATGCAGAGCCCCCTGGACTGGTGACCAGGACCTGGGCAGTGTGAGCACCACTGAAAATCAACTTGCGTGCCGCCTTTGGCACACGTGCCATAGGTTGCCTACCCCTACTCTAAGTGAAACAACTCCCATCCAGAGCTCAGTACAGGGCCTTAAATACAGATTGATTCATGTTATGTTACCTGGAACCTACAATTGAGGCTGTCCCACAGGTCTGTATATTGAAGTGCAATTGGAAATTATGTTCTTTGTCCACTACATGAC